CCCAGAAAAATAGTCATGGACTGTAGGGTACTGACAATCCAATCCACATATTGGCCCAGGCAGGAATCGAACCCAGGTCACAGCAGTGGAAAGTACCACAATGCCAATGTGACTCCCACAACCAGTCAAAGATTTCAGAACAGGTGTTATCCTTAATTATGTCATACACTGTATCTTCCACACATTTTTAGAACAGACCTGTCAATATCCAACAGATGTACATGTGTATAGTGCTTCATGTTGTGTGGTTAAAAAAGTGGCTTTTAATTGAAACACACAATTCCAAACACCACTACGCTATGTGCCCAAAAAATAACAGAATTCGCGATAATTCAGTTAAACTTTTTCATCCAACATTGACGTGTACAGTGTCAAGAGTGAATCACAATATGATGGACATACACTGTTTTCGCTCCGATAAAATTGTGTTGACTAAAACAAGGTCATATCTGTCTCGGTGCAGATCTCCAGACAACTTTTATGACCTGAGTCACTGACAGGGCATCTAGTCCTGTATCATCTTGAAGCTAACAGGGGACAGATTTGATGGGGCAGATTAGTGAGACACCCCAGGTGCCATGTATGACAACTTGGGCGCCGGTCAGTTGGGAATTGGGAGGGGGGGAGGGTGGGGGAACTGGGGGACACTGCTATATAATGAAACAAAGGGTGCCTGCAAGTTGTAACGGTAATTAGTTGTGTAAGACACGCCAATATGATTTAGTGTAAGCAGGCAAACGACTGCCACGCAAGCTGAAAGGACAAGCTGAAAGGACATCAACTGGGGACTGGCATACAAAACGGAATCGAAAGGACAGTGAATAAAAGAGTCATACATGTCTCTGTTTCCCATCCACCCCACCCCGTAATAAAAATATTTAAAACATGAATGTCTGATCTGGTACACGGCACCCTGTGGAGACATGTGCACAATAGGGAACAAAAGATTGTATACGTCTCCACAAAGCAATTTCTATAGGTGGATACGTCCCCACAAGGTCATCATGAAATTTGGATTTTACTCAAAAACTAGGAATTTCCATGGTGAGTTGATTTGTCGCAAATTGAAGTATTTTATGTAAGGGATATTGAGACCGAATTTCAGCCCAGGAATTTAATTCTGGTTATTATAGGAGCATTTTGAAAGTACACTTTCAAACTCAAAAACTTTAGTACAAGAGAACGAAGAAATTAATCCACAAGGATACAAATTCCAGAATATGTGTGCACATAGGAAGTCTAGAGATTTATACCTTATTCTTTGTCTTTTGAGAAAGTGTGAAATGTTTGCCATTGGATAATGATTTTGTGAAGTCCCACTTGTTTTTTTTTTGTTTAGTTTCTTCTACTTGTGTAGAATATTAAACATCACACGGCGGTTTGAGACCAGGAATAAATATCAGGGATGTGATTGGTCTGTAACAAAAAAAACTGAAAATTTTATGCATGAAGTGCAAACCCCGGCGAGCGCGAAGCGCAAAGCCATTACGGCGTGGGGTCCGGGGCCCGCTTAAGGGCCCCGGAAAATTGTTGATTTTAGATGCTCTATGGTGCAATCTGAGGCAATTACTGGGCACTTTCCTCTGAAATTCTGAAGCAGAATTTGTTTTAATTTTATGAAGAATTTTCCCTTATTTGTTAAAATGTACTCTTGTTCTAATAAAGTTTTTTCTGTACTCAAAGTTGAGAACCATGCTGTTCTCCCCAGGATTTTTTCAAACCTGTGGGGGAATTTTTGTTGTGATACAACAACCCGCGAAGCCACGGCGTGGGTTCGGGGCCCGCTTAAGGGCCCCGAAAATTTTTGAACTTTAGAAGCTTTCTGGTGCATTTTAGAGCATTTCAGAGGAGATCTTGTTATTTTTTTGTAAAAAAAAATCAAAATTGTAAACTTAAATCACTTCTGCTTCCGATAACATGCCTTTCAAAATAGCGTCGGTAGTATTGTTGGAAAAAATTATTTCACCATTTCTATATTTGTAGTTAAGCAAGGAATCGTTTATATTTCATGTATTTTGTGCCTGGATTATTCTCATTTGCGCCACAAAAATTATCAAGACTAGCCATCAAAAGTGATTAAAACTTGCCTCACCTACTTAAAAATATATTTAAGGTGGGTCATTCCACAATTATGCTTAACGTACATCATGGCCGCTAGCGCCGCAAACATTCAGTCTGGCCGCCGTACATCGCGCCGTACACACGGCCGGCCCGGCGCGGTATCAGTGTGCATTGCTGCACTGTGTACGGCCCATCCCGTGTGGCCGAAAATTCTGCCGGACTGCAGAAACACGCTACGATGTTTCTCCACAGGTTCGAATTTTGCAATCTCGTCATTTCAATGGAAAATACATACACAGAAAATGAAGATCACGTTCTGTGAATTAATTTTCAGAAATCCTCTTTTTCCATCGATGGTTGTTTTACTATTTTTACGATCCAACTTCGGCCGATTGATTCCGCACGGAAAACGAACCTGTGGGCGTTTTCGAATCCCTGTTCTTGACAACACGCGTGTAACACGAGAACGTATTCTCGAGCTGGTTGTTACGAACGCGCGGGTGCGTGTTGCATCGATATAAAGCAATGCAAAATGGCCGACAATCATCTGAATTTGTTCTTAGGCCTATTCCAAATGAACGAGGACGACTGTTGCAAAACCGGACATGCGGGGATGAAATTGCAGACCTGCACTATAATGGTATTCTTATTCCAATCATTAGGGTATTAGCAAAAAAAAACCCACACAAAACAATTTACGAATCTGCACAGTCCGCCATTTTGTTCAAGCTGCACCTCGCCAAACCCTCCATCAACCGGGGAGTGAAAAAATCGATCCGCGAACGCCCTCTCGGGTCTGTTCGTCACATTCGAGACCGCTGTTCTCGTGTCGGGTTAACCCGAGTGTTGTCAAGAACAGGGATTCGAAAACGCTCTGTGAGTACTTGCAGTAGTCACTGGTTCCGATCCTTCATCATAGCATTGATTCTGTTAGCACGCGAAGGGTACCAGTGTACCATGCTGCACTCGTCTGCACACCTGACCAGCGCAACACGTGCATCTCAAGTACCGACACAGGAACTAGACCTACATAACCACAACCTCGGCCCCGAGCGAAAAATCACGTAATCGCACTAATGGCAACCGCATGGTCTTCAACTTCGTTCTCACATTGGGTGTTCAATATGTGCGTGCGGCATACATATCGATCAACGAAGTAATGTCCGTAAGTAAATTTCGGATATTTCGGCAAGCAAAACTCATTATGAATAATTAATTAGCACATTCTACCCCCCTATTTTCTCAACGGATTCACACGATTAACGTTGGTGAACTTTTGAACCCCCAAAAACCGGATTTCCGGATAAAACCGGAGAAATCACATCCCTGAAATATGGAAGACAATCTTTGGAAACTTATTTTGTTTTTAACAATCTAAAGTGTCATGTGATATTTTGAGAACTTTTGAATGCATCGGTTCCGTGTTCTATGATCGAATGTACATTTCCGCGTGATATTTTTTTTATCAATTAATCTGCAGAAAATATTGATCGGGTTATAAAAGTCACATTGTGAGATAACAATGTTAGACAACTATTAATAGATGCATGTACCATGTTTGCTTCCTGTGATGTCAATCATCTGTGTTCATCACACAAAAAAGCTGGATTATCTGTGCAATATAGCAAGCTTAGAGAAGGATTATTCTCTAAGTGTTATCTGTGTTTGTGGAAAATTTACTATGGGTAGATAAGTGCGATACCCTGTTATGAAAACATGAGTTGACATTTTTTCTAGATTTGTTGTGGTATAAATGTGCCAAAGTTCATGACTGTTGGTAAACTCCATGCATATAAGTAACCCTCACTCAGTTTCCAAGAGAGAGATACATGTACAAGGGACTGGAATACATTGAATGTTCTGCACAGTCAGAATAAAATTAATTGGGCATACATAGTTAATGCCATATGCACGTAAGCCAGCACACATGTGCATGCAATGTGTCTCTCCCACAGAGCTGTAACGAGTGGTCACAAAGCGTCATCTGCTGTTAAAGATATAGTCCATCATTTGTAATTTGTGCATTTTGTTCGTTTGAAGCAACAAAAGTGTTCAAAATCTAATGAAGGATACTGAACAACTAACCTGATGAAGTTTCAGTTCAGCTTCAGCTGTATATTCCGAGAAAAACAGCATTCTAGGATCTCAATTTCAAATCAAAAGTTGCTGAATCATGTTTTGAATTGTTTTGAATTGCAGCTATACGCGATGTCGCGTACTGACTTGACGAATTATAGCAACCGCGCGCGCCTGTGCGTCTTGCCAATGCGTGCTGCGCCGAATAACAAAACGAACTACTAATTTAAATTTTCCTACGGCGTCTTAAGACGCACCGTTTGAAAGGCCTTCTTTAGTTGATTACTTCAAAATGATAGCTTGCCAGAAAGATTAATTTCACAGGGAGTTTAGTCCACTTACTATCTTTCAACCAAGTATGTTTTTCAACAATAATACGCCAGTTTCTTTTTCGGATGGCTGCAAATGATGGACTATAGCTTTAATGCAAGGAATCAGTACAAAGAAGCACATCTAATCCTAGAACAAATGTATTCTAGAGGGAAAGTTTTTAGCGGTAGAGAAATTATTTAACCCAGACTTTCATTTCTGCAAACATTTTTTTGTCACTTTTGAAACCAATGTGGCCCAGAAAGGACTTAAAACGGGATACCGAAATTTGCTGTTTATTGAAAAAGACATCATTCTGACACAGAAAAACGTAGCTGTAACTCAGACTCGTCGTTGCTAACAAGCTTTTTCTCAGTGACTTAAAGACTTTAAGCAATTAGCACCTGTATTTCATTGTACTAAATTGTATTCATTCCCCCAATGAATCCTTGAAACCATACGATTCTGCAACCGTTTGGGCAGTATGGGAGAAACAGGCAGGGTGTTTTGGGTTAGTTCAGGGACTAATCGGATAGTGGAAAGAAGGAACTTACCGAGTATTTTCTGTCGGTAGCCGACGGGTACGAAGCGTGACGCCCACTTTGGGAACTCATCCGTGTTCAGCGACACAAACACCATCTGGTTGTAGAACTCATATGCAGCCGATGTGAATGCCTGAACAAACAAAGTCAAGACTTGAATGCGTCAGATATCTCAGCAAAGATAGTGAACTATTCCGACAAAGCAAAGAGTCCTGTTGGATACCTGAATGGGTAGAACACTGGAACAGCAAGTCAGATGTCTTAGGTGCAACTCCCATTTTTAACAAATTATTCTCCTGAATATCTGTGGCTTCCAGCTGATAGATGCTGAACTTTAAAGGAAAACTTTAGGCTGGATAGCTACATGGGTAGCACACTGGAGCAGAAGTTCAGGGGTCTTTGGTTCAAGTCCTTGATTCACCCCATTTTCCTTATGCCTGAATTATTTCAACAGCAGTGGATTGTTTATGGAATTGAGTCGGGATGATCTGCTTCAGCTAAAAAAATAGGCAGGATGCCCTAATGGGGAGACCACTGGAGCGAAGGTCCATGGGTCGGGGGTTCAAATCCCCGATTCAGCAAATTTTGAATTCTAACTGAATTATTTCAACGGCAGTTTTGGTGGTTTATGTATCCGGTTGGAATAATCTGCATCAGCTAATGTTAAATCACCAGGCCAAATATTTCCAATAGGTACAACGCTGGACCTGCATTCCAAGGGTCTTTGGTTCAAGTCCCCATTGAGCACTTGTTTTTCCATTGATGACACAAAGTTAAAGGGAAGATACAACATTTGCATACATCAAAAAACAAAATGATCAAATTATCATGAAATACCTTACTGGATTGTTTGGGAATGACAGTCTAAAGCATCCTGTAAAATCGTGGCTCCTGGTGTGCTGACATTTTCAAGAAAAATTGTATTTTTCCAACGCTGGTCGGCCGACCAGCGTTGGAGAAAACTGGCTTATTTTCCAAAACTGATCCTAAGCTTTCATATTTAGTTATTCCGCATTTTCTTAGCAATTGATTACACACCTGTGAAGAGGTACAAGCCTGCTAGACTGATTCTCTGACCTTACAATTCCCCCCAGTCTCCAAATTACCCCGTTTCATCTTAAGTGGGGTCAGGGAACCAGACTACAAGAACATGATTGGTTCTCATGGTTTTTCCAGCATCTATGAGCTCAAAATGTGAAACAAGTCAGTTAAACAATATTTGCTATAACATTCTAATCCTCCAAATCCATTTATTTCTGAAACTTGCAGCAAAAGCAAATGTTGTACATTCCCTTTAAGAAAAAAGAAGCTAACTAGGTATGGTAAGTCCCTCTTCTTACCTCAATGAACTGCGCTCCTTCCATTAGATGACCCTTGTTAGCCAAGGCTATCAGTACCGGCAGGTTGTGCTCAAAGATGGAGTTCTCGTGGTGCTCACCAAACTTTGTTCTATTAAAAGAAACAGAGAAATATTGGTCTCCATTATGCATGACCTTCAACCCCACAACTTCAAACTTGAAAGCCAAGTGCGGGAACCCATTCCTTACAAGGTGTATAGAGTACTGGGCCCAATTTCACGGCGCTGCTTAACAGTCAGCAGAAAAGTTGTGTTTAGCATAGCAGAAAAATTGCTAACCTTAAGCACTATTTCACAGCGTGTGTATGCTAACGGTCACGCGTGCATGGAGATTTCTATTGTTACGTCACTGAGTTAAGCAAATTTTTCCTCTGAAGTAAGCGTGCCTTTTGCTGTGCTTATGCTTACGGTCTTCATGAAATAGACGGAGGCTCTGTTAGCAGAAAAACGTGTGCTTAGCAGCGCCGTGAAATTGGGCCCTGAAGTGTGACATCATTTTGAACCGGGAAGTGTAGTGCAAACGAATAGAGTATGCGCGCATGTTGGTTCACGGGCTGAATCAGCACTAATGTCTTTTACACACAAAAATTGTGCGTGTGATGTATTCACTTCGGTACTCTATTACATGTACTGGGAAGTCAAGGGTACTTTCCTTTGTGAGTGATTTTATGCCCGCACACTAACATTAGACGTGAACACGTTTTAGTCATATGATGGAAAACGTTATCCTGTGATCCTTGATCCTGTCTCCCTTTGCACCTTACACACGGCTACTGGCGTTATCAATCTTGATACTAGCCGCACAATCTTGAAACTAGCCACACTATCGTAGACTAGTAGGGGTTCAAGTGAAGTTAGTTGAGCTGTGGTGATCCATACTTCACATTCGAAATTGCTCAAACATACTTTTTCCATGAGGTGTTTATTGTTGCCCTACTCCTTACGCCCAACCAGTTATTCCCATATACCTTACGCCCATACGTACCTACCCACTATGGGTGTGGAACACGGTATGTGTCAGGGATTCTAACATAATCCTGTTCAAATGCCACAAAATGTGTGCAGAGTAACATCAATGTACCCCCATTATGCCAATGTACATGGTACGCCCATTTGTACCTACCCACTATGGGTGTGAAACCCAGTCATGGTGAGGTGTGTGACAGGGAGTCTACCGTGACCCTGTACACATGCTACATCATCTTTTGCTACTAATAACTGTACCCATTATGCCCTTGTACACCTTACGCCCATTGGTACCTACCCACTATGGGTGTGGAACCCAGCAATGGTGAGGTGTGTGACAGGGAGTCTACCGTGATCCTGTACACATGCTTCATCATCTTTGCTACCAATAAATGTATCAATTATGCCCTTGTACACCTTACGCCCACTGGTACCTACCCACTATGGGTGTGGAACCCAGTCATGGTTCAGTGAATGACAGGGAGTCTACTGTGACCCTGTACACATGCTACATCATCTTTGCTACCAATAAATGTATCCATTATGCCCTTGTACACCTTTAATACGCCCATTGGTACCTACCCACTATGGGTGTGGAACCCAGTCATGGTGAGGTGCGTAACAGGGAGTCTACCGTGATCCTGAACAAATGCCACAATGAGATCTGTGCAGCTAGCAGGGTCATCTTCACATCGTTGTCCCTCTTTCAAGTTGTACCTTCACATGATATGAACAAAAATTTAAATAAACATTTAAACACTGTGTCAGATTTTTGATTACAACTTTGACTTTCAAGATTCTCCAACCATTGGTTGATACAAAGCTATTTATATCCAACGTTGAGTTTCGACCCTGTCTAATAATAAACTCTCACAATGTTGCTCTGGTGAAATCTTAAAGAGGTATTTTCTCTGATCTCCCCGGAAAAGTGAAAGGGAACATGCAATAGGATTTGTATGACTTGAAAACATTTAAAACAGCTTTCTTGCCATGTAACTATGACTTTCCTCCTACTTTGTAGCAGTAAAAGGGAGAAATTTCAACATTTTAGTTTTTATGCTAATGAAAATTTCCATATTCATGAGCCAAAGCGTGATGTCATTCAAGGCAGAACAGAGGTGGCTCCATAACTTTTTACTTGTTTATCATGTTAAACAGCTTGTTTGGACAATAAGTGGCCAATATTTCTTCAAAACCTTTTTTGTGGGTAATTTTGAAGGACTTGTTTTTGTTCTGTTCATATGCACTTTTGACAAGGAGTACCTTGTGTGACAAATGCTAAATAGCGCCCTCTTACATGTATCGTTGAAAGGATTTTCTAATAATTGAAAAACCACCACTTTCTTTTCACTTCCAATGAAAACAAGTATTAAGATCTTGTATGTATTGTTGCAACACATAGTAATGTGCATGAAAACAAGATGAGCTGAATTTCCACTGCATGTTTCCTTTAAGTAGATGCAGAAAGATATATAACCCGGTCCAAGATCAGTCACCATCCACCAGAAGGTTGGGGAAGATTGCTTCTTTTTATTTTTTTTAAATTCAGGAAGGTCCCCAGCATAAGATGCCCGTGGAAGTAGGGCTAATGACAGATTATTTTCCTTGAGACAGCTATGGATGGACTTACTTATGAGGTGAATGGAACGCATGTATCTGTGAATCTGATTCATCTTGTAGCGTAACCATCAGATTTCTTCCCAGGCTAAATATCAGAGATTTGATACCGTCCTTTCGAAGCATTTCAACCTGTCAAAGTAAATATTTAATAATAAAAAATAAAGAGTAAACAACGGGGAGCATTCCTGTCAATTGGAGACAACTCGGGACTAAGGCTTGTCATAAAACCCGAGAAAACCTGGTGATTTGAAATTAATTATTTTTTTTTTAGCCCTTTTCACACTAAACAAATCTCGGGGTTGACGCAGGGTTGACGCATCGTTTCACACTTAAAGAATTTCAACCCTGCGTCAACCCGTGTCAACCCCAAGATTAATTTCGCCCCGGGATGAACTCAACCCTGCTCCATACCAGGGTTGAGATTTTCAATCCGGGTTGAAATTCTTGCCAGGGTTCAAAACAGTAGTAACTGAGCATGATAAGCTTGATTTGCATGATACAAGTGTGAAATGATGCAGGGTTGAATGCGGGGTTGAAAAATCAAAAGTTCAACCCGGGGCGGCACTGGGTTCGCCCAGGGTTGAGTTCAACCCCGGTCGAGAAGCTCTGGTGTGAAAAGGGCTAAAGAGGTATTAGAGACAACATGGAGGAAAGGAAAGGGTGTAAACTAATACGTACCTGAGTAACAATCATGTCTTTGTCCCTTTTACTTCTCTCCACGTCGCGGCTTCCAAGGTTCTCCGAGATGGCCGCCAGACAGCTGGCCCGGCCATACAGCTGCTCGCAGGCAACCCGGTAACACTCTAATGGGTACCAGCGATGGGTGCTGGCCAGGGCTGGTAGGTACCGGCCGGCCAGGGACAGGGGGTACATGGTGGCTAGGAGGATTACGTCCTCTTTCTGTGCAGAGACAAAAATAATGGACGGACAGAAGAGTATTTTTTAGTGGAGTGTCACAAGGCTCTTTCACGCTGTTCAAAATCTCTGTGATGGACACAGGTCAAACCTTGAGATTTTTGGAACCATTCGGGTCTATATAAAGTAAAGTATAAGCCCTCGTCGGGACCACGCATAATCTTTAAATTTGGAACTTTTCAAACTGCGTCATTTTTTCATATAAAACCGTTTTAAATGTTGGACGATTTACAGTCTTTGGTAGCAAATGGGGTATCCAAATGTAGCTAACAACATTCCCCAAAGGTCTATATAAATGACGTCATCATACGACGATCAGATTCAAAATTATGACCCTTCCAATGAGTGTGGACTTTCAATTTTTTTTGTGGTGTTTAGTTACCTATGAGGATAGAGATACTTATAGCATTTGAACTAGGCGTTTGAACATGCTTTAATGGTAGCATCAACTGTACAGGATGAGTAAAAAAAAACCGAAACCCAGATGTTGGGACCATTGTTTTAGTGAAGTTCTGCATGTAGCACTTTCAAAATCTAGGATATGAAAGCTCAATTCATAAGCTTTCTTTTAGTACAAGAATCATTCAAATCACTCATGTACTTTTCAAGTTACGGACTTTTAAACACCACCACCGTTTTAAAGTTCTGTCCACGGATCACAAAACGGTAAGTGTTCTTTCAACAAAACGAAAACAAATCACATAGGGATGTGTGTGAAATGTTTTTGTTTTGCTTAAAGAACGCACACCTTTTCTGTGATCTGTGGACAGAACTTTAAACGGTGGTTGCGTTTAAAATTCCGTAACTTAGAAAGGATTCTTGTACTAAAAGAAAGCTTATGAATTGGACTTTTATATCCTAGATTTCGAAAGTGCTACATGTATGCAGAACTTCACTAAAACAATAGTCCCAACATTTGGGTTTTTTTTTTTTTACTCACCTTGTATACTTCCAAGGAACTGAGACTGGTCTTTGAAAACAATTATGGTAAGCAGGTGTAATAGTGATGTACACCTGCAACACCAATAAAGGTGTGCATACGTAAGCATTATGAACTATACAATACAATGATACCTGGAACGTAGACTGCTGGAACTGTTTGATACTCGGCAGGTGTTTCACAGCTGGAAGGGATATCTCAGAAAACCATTCCATTATAGACTTCTCCTGGAAACAAAAACAAGCACGTGAAACAAAACAAAAAATTAGTCATGGTCTGAGACTAAGACCTAGATGTCAGAACATTGACCATAAACGACATTTGGCAAGTTTTTGGTTGTTTGTTTGTTTGGTTTTTCTTTTAATCTGACACAGCCAAGTTTCAAACATAAACATAATGTAAAATAACTGACTCCACTAGGTAAACTAGCTACAGGATTTGAATTTTTATTTTGCAGTATCTGTTTTGACACAAGCAAAACTTGTAAGATCTTTTGAGAAGTCTAGACCAGAACAGAGACTGAGCCTGATAATTGCTCTGAGAACTCTTCCCGAGACCTCTTCTCGAGACACAGCATAGATAGATATTATGTACACGACAGAATACACCTGGCACACAAAGAAACTAAGCAGTTTTTATAATCATCCTTGTTTCGACATTTCTCGGTGAAGAAAAAATCTGAATTATACGTTTTGTCACGGAAACTTTCTGGTTCAATTTGATACCTCACTTGGGAACACTGCGTAATAAATAACGAGAGCACAAGCGCGAAAGCTCCTGAAACCCCAAAACTAATTGTTGCAATTAGCGAGATTTTCAATGGGCATTGCAACACACAATTGAATGCAGGCCTACGTCATTGCATTCAATTGTGTGTTGCAATTTTTTTTTCATGCCATATGTATATCCTACTCATGAATAAAGACTGGTTCGTTCTTTGCGTGAATGCAAGTGCACAGTAAATTTTTTGGCACTTTTAGTAGTGTACAGCCTGATCCCGATAAGGGAACAAAAATCCACTTTTAGGTTATTGGACTTTAATACCAAACTAGTAAGTGACATTACAAACCAACAGGTATGTCTTAGAAGAGGGCAGGGCTTTTATTTTTTAAGGGAACTTTTGGGGTAAGGTGACGATGAAGACGACACAACACAGCATGAAAATAAAGATTGTGATCATCGCAACACACAGTGAACACACCAAACCGCATTGATTCGCATGGCACCAACTGTAAAACGCATACGAAAATCGCATTTTCTACCACAAAAAAATGATGTCATTAGAATTAAGAGAAGTCTGCTTTCGGTTGAAAAAGTCATTTTGGACTGATAAAAAACACCCTTGAACAAATTTGATCAAAACTAAAGAGGGCCTCTACTCTACACAATCTCTAATTTTTGGACGAAACCATATTTTTAGAGGGAAATTTACCAAAGTTGAAATGTGTTGAAGGCTTGTGACTTTTCTGTAGCCAAATACTTGCCACGATGTCAAAAATTCACATCTTCATTTGCTTTCATAAAAACCAGCCTTAATTAAAACCCTTACCCTACTCAATCCTCCTCAATCCCCATGGTGATTTTGGAGGATTTTGGAGGATTGAGGATGAATGGTGTTGAAGCACATGAGATTTTGGAGGATTGAGGATGAATGGTGTTTGAAAAGGAGGAGGATTTTGGAGGATTGAGAATGAATGCATTTGAGAGGCGGGACAGTCTGACGATTTGGAAGGATTGAGGCGCTGGGTATCCTTCATTTGAACATAAGTGCAAAAGTTTGGAGGATTTTGGAGGATTGAGGATGGTTTCTAGCAAAAAGGGCCTAGGGAGTTAGGGTTAAGGCTTATTTATGTGTTCACCTCCAGCATGCCATGGAAGTCCATCCGGATCAGCTGGTTAGCGTGGCCTGGGCTCACGCAATTCTCGCTGCCTATCTCCCCATACCCCCTAAAGGCTATCAGTGTAGGAAAGCCAATAACGCGTAGTTGGGAACAAGTTACTGGATCCGACGTGCAGTTCATGATGTACATCGATGCTCCATCTGCAAGGATACAAACGGGATAACTGCATTTAAATGAAATTTGAAAATGATATTGAACTGAAAATCTGCATTTTTATGGCAAGATCACACTTATGATGTAAAAATAAATTTGAACATTTTTGAAAAAGCCAAGAACACATTATCAGCAATTCTTATTTATATTTTAATTAATTTATAGTGCATCAGTTCTTTTCCAAATCATTTGAATTTGGGATCTTCATCAAAATGGGCCTTATTCAAGTGTCGGCCATATTGGATTGAGAGTGAGGTAAAATCTTGATTTTTGGAACTTGTGTAGAGAAATGAAAGCAAGTTAGTTTCTAATTAATTCCAGTCTGCTTCAATGAATAACAGGGGTGTGAGTGACCACTGATAAAAATAGCTGAAAACAGCTGAAAAAAGGTGTAAAAGAGCTGAATTTTGGAAATCTCCTATACTTTTGTACACAGCAAGTGAGGGGAAAAAGCTGAAATCCAAAACAAAAATAGCTGAAATCAGCTAAAAAGCTGAGATTTCACACCCCTGGAATAATTTAAAATTTGTAATTAAACATTCCCTAATGTTTAAAGCCAGATTTAAAAAAAAAAATTGTGCCTGCATGCATAAATAGTCTGGCGCCATCCCATTCAACAGTTAACAATTAATGAAATTTATTCAGGGAAGTCGACAAAAATGGCCACCTCGTGAATAAGACCATGGTTTTGATAAATGCGAGGCATTCTTGCAAAATGAGACACACCTGGACAGAGGTTACAATGAGAGTTTGTCGATATAAGAAGGAGAATAAAATTCTCCTCTCAATCCCGCTGTATGTTGCACTTTAATTGGATAGTCCGTTGACAAGTTATGGCTGTTTAAAGTTTGCATTTATCGACAAGTCAAAAAATTAAACTACTAAGAACAAGGCCTTGAAACATTTCAACTGTTTGGTAGTAGTGAATATAATAAATGCCAGAATGTTTATCCTTAAAAAAATACTTTTATTCCAGGATGTTTAAACTATTTCTTTAAAATAGGTGTAGTAGACATATCAAAGACTATAAATAAAAATAAATCTGAAAATTAAAAAAAACATCACCACTTTTGGTGTTCTGCATTTTTCTCCACTAAGGCCTGTGCCCAGTTCCATCTCATTTTTGCCAGAAAGCCTCACGACTCTAGATCTAATGGGCCCAAAATTTGATACAGCCCCCTCTGTAGGTGGACATGCTTGTTTCTAACATAATTTCCACATGCAACCCAGCGAGGGCGCTCTTTCCTTTTTCCAACTAATTTTAAAGGAAAACAAAGTGAGACTTTGTCTGAATTAGGCATTTTGTGGCTACGACTGTGGATTTTGCCATTTGCTTAGTGATGGTAAATAGCCATAGCCATACAAAACAATGCCATTTTGTACATGACCTGAGCCTTGCGTTTTCATGAAAGAAATCTTCATAACTCGACCCACCAATCATCTTCAGCGAATCCACCAATCTCTCAAAGACGACCATCTTCCTTCGGCAGTTGCTGCAGTCGGTCTGAATGAAGACCACCAGCGTGGTAGATGTGACGTCCTTCCTCCAAGGCTTGGCGAGGCGAAGTGCACCCCCAGGAGTCTGAGAACGCTCCACGATGCTTGCCCAGGAGGTATCGGTCACTTGTGGGATCTTGCCGATCATTGGTTGGGAAGAAGTGCTGGATTTCTGAAAAATTCAAGCAGAAAATCTAAATTGCCTTGTTGACTGCTGTTGATGAGACACATTCAGGTCTAATGTGTGACTTGACTTGACCTGACTTAGTTTTGGGAGAAATGACTTTGTGACTTAGTGAATTGAAAAATAATTAGATTTTTGAAATGCTTCAATATCTTTTGAGGCCATCTATGATCATAATCACTGTGCATATAACAAAAGATGTGATCAAATAAACATGATGATAATGTTTGCAGTATTATTGCACTTCATATAACAATCCATCCCAACCAAATCATTCCTTGAAATAAAAATCTGAATTTATGAACCGTTGTTTTTTTTTATACATTTTACTGCTCAAAGAAAAAACAATCAAGGGAGTATGGCAAAAAAAACTGTTTCATGAAACAAAAAAATACAATATAGAATGTAGGAAAAAGTGGCAGACAATGAATACCATGATCATAAAAACCATCTTCAGCACAGGTACCAATGATTCTCTGAGGAGTGGGAAAGTGATTGAAGTAACGTGTCCTGCCTAAGGACATAAGAATAAATATTTGATTCCAGTACTGCAGTGCCCGTTCAAAACGTGCCTGTTTGGAATGGGCATATTGCTTGGCCTCCAGTAGACCCGCAAACTTGGCAGTATAGAGTGCAGCGACCGTAAAACAGCGCGCCATATCTACACCTCACCGTTGCGCGATCGTGCCCTTAATAAAAATGGTCAAGGCCCACCTCATCGTTACACGATCTTCCCCCTTCAAGAAATGGTGGAGCCCAAACAGCCAGCCACCATTTCCACATGTGGGACCCAGCAGGGCGTGGCACAGTCTGTATATACACTTTTGTGGTGTAGGCCTCTCAAAATGGTGCTTTTTTTTTGCAGCTTCTTGGAGAACTGCTCATCTAAACAACTTCAAATTTGACACTGCACATTCTGGGGTCCCGGGCAATACTCACGCCAATTTTCAACTCCATACAGTGCCCGGTTCTGGAGATAATTAAATACAGACAGACACACAGACACACAGAAATTCCTGGAATTTTAGTAAAGATGATTCATGCTAAATGAAACCGATTTATTAATATTAATCAACAGGCAATGAATTTCAAACTTCTTAGAGAGGTTGTCTGACATACCTTCTTGACCCACAAGGATTTCTGCCTTTCAGGAGCTTTGTTTTCCCCCTTGTTCTTGACTTTTGACTTCTTCGTTGGCTGCAAACTTGTTGGATCGCACATATCTTGGTTGTACACATCATCGGGAATCCCAAGACTGCTGTTTGCATAACTGGTGCAAAGGTTTGGCGTGTAGCTGGTGAAACCGTACGAAATCTAGACGAAAAAGTAGAACTGTTCAATTAAATTACATTGCACTGTGGTTTGTTTTTTTATGCACATCGCCCATAGTCAAAGGCCACTCAAGGTGTGGGCTACAGAGGAAAGTATGGAAGAACCAGCCCCTTGCACTGAAACAAGACAAGATAATCTAATCTCTTCACAGTATGAATAGCGTTGGGATGGGTAACTAGTCCACTGCAAGGCATTAATAATGCCTCTACCCATATTAGGCCAAAAAAAAAAATACTCCGGTCTCTGGTCAGCGCGCGCGTTGATTTTAACCATGCGCGTCAACCTTTTTTTTTTTCCAAATTAACACGGAAGCTACAACAGCGCCCTCTATTGCCGCACCTCCTCAAATTTTTGTACCAAGGAGCACCAAGGAATGGGAAAATTGCACCAAGGCAAATGATAAAGGGCACCAAGGTAAATTATGGAGAACACCAATGTATAATGAGGGCACAAACAAGCAAAATAGTACCCACCTTGTCTGTACAATTCAAGCTTGAAAAAAAACAAAACACACACACACACACACAAAAACGCGTCGCCACATCAATTCCGGAACTTTGGTCTGACCAGAGACCGATATTTTTTTTTTTGGCCTTAGGCATAGAAGTGTCATACTATCATAGCCCAGGCTAAGCTCGAACCCACAACCTGCAAAATTACCTGCAGACCACGAATTCAACGCCCCACTAGGCCATGGCACTCTTTTTTAAAGAGAAATTTAAGTAAGAAGTGTATTACTCTAGTATAGGTGTCTCTCAAATGACGTCATTTCCTACAGACCAGCCACGTGCATCGGCATTTTAAGCGTCAACTTGCATAACGCGCATTGGCTGCGTCGTATTTCGAACACATTTCAAGCAACAAGCGCACGTGTTTGAAACATTTTCAACACTGCGCAATGCGTGCTTGATTGTGTAAAATACGAAGTTGCACTTCTCCTACAGAGATGGCCGTCTTTAAGAGAGACTTATTCAACAATGTAGTGAAAGAAAGCAGTGGTGTGCAGCGTGACCACTCATCAGACGCTCCAAGGGATTTTAACACTTGAGTTTAGGAGACAATCTCATCTCCTTTAAATCCGAACTTTTAACACTGTCAGTTTCAAACTTAAGTCAATGACCTAAAAAAGATGTTAACAAAACTTACGTAGTTCGAAACTTATAATTTTGTAAAAAGCTAACAATCGCTGAACAAACCGAATGTGGCATCAAGACAACTGAATTGAATTTAAAAGAAATCACAAAGTAGTAAAAAAAAAACTTACCTCATTGTCAATGTCATGCCCCTCCCACGGTGAATACTGTAGCTCCTCCCCCTGTGCATTGTATATAGACACTTGGTTTTGTTCAAGGAAAGTTGCCACTGTCCAAGGGGTTGGGGTGACATCAGGTAGTAACTTCTGTTGCAGGACTACACCTGGATTAAAAAATGAAGAAATTCAAGCATTTCAAAATTCAAATTAGCTGCTGTTTGCAGATTTAAATCAGGTGTGGTATGAAATTTGGGCTCCTTTGAAACAAGGACTCATTCACTGTATCGTGCATTGCTCAACCACCAGAACAAAGAGAACTCACTCAAGTGTGGTTTGGAGTCTGTATGGAGGTTCAAAAGTGGACATCTGCTTTTCTGCATGAACGTTTTGTGAAAATGTATTTTTCTACTTTTCTGCTTTTCTGCTACCAGAAAAGTAGATTTAACGATTTGCTAAAATGCAATTTCTACTTTTTTGCTTTTCTGCTACCAGAAAAGCAGGTTTTACTTTCTGCCCTTCACTGACGGTTCAAAAACGGACATCTGCTTTTCTGCTACATCAGAAAAGCAGATTGAACATTTTGTCACGGTGGTTCAAAAGTGGCCATCTGCTTTTCTGCTGCAGAAACTGAGCAAAACGATTCCCGAACGCAACAATGCCACTCTAGTACCCACCAAAAAATGGAGAGGTTCCAAGTGATTCCGCCTCCGTCGTTACGTCATCACAGCTAGGGTATTCCCGAATCTTAGGTCCAATCACATTACGCGCGTGGCCAGGCAACGTCTTCATGGCCTGGCTACGCAAGTAAAACAGTCTGTGGATTGGACAGAGATTCGGGCATAAGCTGTGATGACGTAACGACGAAGGCGGAGTCACTGGGAACCGTCCTCTTTTTGGTAGGTACTAGAGTGGCACAGTTCCGTTCGGGAATGTTCAATCTGCTCAGCTTCTGTGCAGAAAAGCAGATGGCCACTTTTGAACCACCGTGACAAAACGTTCAATCTGCTTTGCTGGTGGCAGAATAGGAGATGTCCCTTTTTGAACCGCCAGTGAAGGGCAAAAGTAAAACATGCTTTTCTGGTAGCAGAAAAGCTGACACGTAGAAAAAATCATTTTAGCAAAACGTTCAATCTGCTTTTCTGGTAGCAAAAAAGCAGAAAAGTAGAAAAATTCACTTTAACAAAACGTTCAATCTGCTTTTCTGATATTCTGTTAATAGCAGAAAAGCAGATGTCCACTTTTGAACCTCCATAGAGTCTGTATAAGGTAAAAAGGACCAGACTTTATAGGAGCCCAAATTTCATACGACAGCGGCTTTACCTACAGGACATTATGGGAAACAGTCCACATCTAGAGAATGTCTTTATTTCTTCATGAGATTTCTGACTGCATGTATGTGTGTGAGTGTGGTACCACACATAAACGAACTGAACAATGACTAAGATCAGGAAATGCAGAAAGTCAGCTACAAAGTTGAAAATTGTGAATCCCCTGAATTAAAAAAAAAATTGTTTTGAAAGGAGGAAGACTAAGGCTGTGTATCAGAACCGGGTAATCGAGTACCCGACCGTTGATGTCAGGAACCGGTTCCAGATAATGGGATTGAGTACCTGTTAACAAACTTTACAGATTATGTAGCAACTTCTCAGATAGTGACAAAAAAAGGTTTTGAATGCCATTTGTGGGGAATTGTCAAATGGCTATGTGGGGGGAAAAAAAAAGATTTCACGTTTATGTGCATTTTAAAGTTGCAATCCCTTTATCCCGCACTGTACACACTTGTATTTTGCTGTATTGACGCACTGATGTGGTAGTGTTATCATGCGCACCTTTATGAACCATCTAAACAGCAACTTCCAGGGTTCGAATTTTGGGGTGGGGTTTCTTTAAGGGTATCCAGGTACCTGTGTTTTACTGCAATAGGGTACCCGGTTCTCGTAACACTCATAAATGCACACCACCAAGGAAGACTCTGAATTACTTTTTCTGGCCAATTTGTCATTACAATAACTATAAAAAGATCACAAAACTAATAGACCATTATCATGTTGCAGCCATCTTGATTTTTTCCCATTCAAATCAACGTAACCAAAGCGAGGCTGTGAGGAAAAATAGTCTGGTTCCTTTTTGCACAAAAAACGTTATCATTCAGTACTGTAATTGGATACAGGGAACATGACTGAAATGGTGGCAGCATGATAAAGGTCTATTTGACTTGAAGTTACCCATGTCCTCCGTTTCCTCCCACCAGAACAGCACTGAGAACGGAACAGACTTGGCATATGTAGCATCCACCCATCGAGTCACCACTGCAAAACATTTGTCAGATTTTATATGAAGAAAAATATTATTCTTTCCATTAGCTCTTTACATACAGCAAGCCCATAAATTACGAAAGGCCAAAATGGTACTTGTTTAAGATGATAAAGAGCAAATGTATTATTATACATAATAAAGGTATTTATATTTTGTAATAAAAGAGTTGACAATTAATCTTCACAGTCCAATTTGAAGACCATTTAGCCCAAAGCATCCAGCAGACAGAGGGGAGAGTGGCCTAGTAGTTGGGGTCGGTGACTCATGATCAGAGGGTCCGGGATTCAAATCCAGCTGCTGGCCATACATTGTGTCCTTGGGCAAGCCACTTCACCCACCCTTGCCTCTCTCCACCCAGGAGTATAAATGGGTACCGACATTAGCTGGAAAGTATTAAACCTGCGATGGACTGGGATCTCATCCAGGGGGAATAGAAATATTCTCAGTCGTTTTGTGGAGATGAAAGCCGGCCTGATGGGCCGTACTGGCTTGTGACAGAATTTACTTAACTTTTTATCCACCAGACAAGCCAATGTTTTTCACAAATATACACTCTATGCACATACATTTGTTAATATACAAATGAAAATTTAACATAAGCAGTGAGCTAACCTATTGATATTTTTCTCGAAGTCTTATCATTATAATCAAGATTTCAGATTCCTGCAAAAACATAGGAACCATGTGACCCATTCACAGATGGTTCTTTCGTCATTTTCAACTCTTGACTTGGCCATTAAACTCCGGGAGATAAAAATTATACTCTTTATACCTTCAGCGTGTTGTGTGAGCTCCAGCGATTTAAACTGCAACCCCGTCCCATCACCCAGATGAAACTCGGCTGCCGATCGCTGGAGGGCGTCCAGATACGACCCCGTGTCGCGACCCCAGGGGGCATGGAAGCACACCAAGGTCGGCAACCTCTTTTCCTTTGGACTGATGATGCTGCTTTCAAAGTTGTGCAGGGTCAGGATGGTTATGGGAGACATTCTCAGCCTGAGGAAGGCTCTCAAACGCTCAAAAGATGACTCGGGCCCTTCAAATTTCTGCACTACTCTATTCTTCACCGTGTCTGAAAAGCAGAACAAAACTTGGATTACATTAATGGTTTTTCTATTTATGTTTTTATTTTGTTTTTGTTTTTTTTAGTTGGGGAAACACTTGTCAAACTGAATACACTAACTGTCACAGACATTAATAAACTTCAAACAGGAATATTCATGTACCGGTATATTAACAAACTTCTTCCCCAGATATTTTCATCCTTTTTTCTAGCTGTTCACAACATCCATGGCCATAGCACAAGTTCATCTAACAAACTTTATTGTCCTTTCACTCGCACATCATACTCCATTAACACATTTCAATTTCATGGGCCACGTCTCTGAAATATCAGCCAGACAATGAAAACACAGTCGTCTGAGGGCCGCTTTAAGAACTCCTTCAAAGCGGAACTGATTTTCCATTACATAGCACAGCTATTCCTTCGCCACTGAGTACATTTCTTCCTCCCGACTGCTGTTTTCTTTTCTTTTCTCTTTTTTTCTTCTTCTTTTCGCGATGGGATGGGATGGGATGGGATGGGATGGGATGGGATGGGATGGGATGGGATGGGATGGGATGGGATGGGGTGGGTGTGGGGTGGGATGGGATGGGATGGGATGGGATGGGATGGGATGGGATGGGATGGGATGGGATGGGGTGGGGTGGGGTGGGGTGGGGTGGGGTGGGATGGGATGGGATGGGATGGGGTGGGGTGGGGTGGGGTGGGATGGGATGGGATGGGATGGGATGGGATGGGATGGGATGGGATGGGATGGGATGGGATGGGATGGGATGGGATGGGATGGGATGGGATGGGATGGGGTGGGGTGGGGTGGGATCAGTCCATAAATGTGGGGTCCAAAAGTGTGACAGATTGTGTGTCCCTGCTACACCTGATGAAACAGAGATACGAACAAAATTGATCCCCCGCATTTATGGAATGACCCATTTATGTTTTACTCTATTCATCACCATGTCTGAAAAATCAGAACAAAACTTGTCTTAAGTTCTCCTGTTGAGGCCTATATTTATGTTTTACTTTGGAACTCAAATGGCTATTTCATACTAGGGTTCAAGAGTCATGCCAAACTAAAAGGTAAAAGGATCAGATCTAGTTGATCCAAATACCCTTTGGTTTTAGGTAGGCCAACTATATCAATTATTTTTCAGATATCCTAACACTTTGGGTTTATGACATACATTTGCAGCAGTATATCTTTTAGTGTCTTGCGCATGCAGTCACTCCTAACTGTTTTCAAACGTCAAACTTTTGAAGTAGTTCATTTTAACGGCTAGTGCATAAGGTGCCTCGCTCTCACCACTGTGGCCCGGGTTCGATTCCCGGCTCGGGCCATATGTGAGTAGAGATGTGCATTGATTCTCTTCTGTGTCACAAAGGCTTTTTTTTCCGGTATTCCTCCCTCCACAATTATCAACAATTTTCGATCTCTGGCAGTGCTCCATGGTCATATATGGGTGGTATGGCAGCTGCCTAAGGCGCCTTTACATGCCTTGGGCCCGACCACGTTGTAGCTGCTTCCTTCGCACTTCAGCTTCTCAGCTGGGAGTAAGGATGATTAGCCCCCAGATTATTTCAAAATAATATGGTTGAGCGCAAATCTGCAATGCCAGTCTGAAAAGTTCAAATTTTTCAGAAATAGTGTTGCTTGGATCTGTTTTAACTCTCACAAGTTACTCTACGCCACGTGTGGTCTAGCGGTAGAGCAAAGGATTCGTGATCGTGAGATTGTGGGTTCGAGCCCCGCCGTGGCCATGAGTGTTGTGCCCTTGAGTAAGGCGCTTCACCTCAATTACTCCTCTCAACCCAGGTGTTAAATGGGTACCAGCATTATTCAATGCTGGGAAGGTAACAGACTCGCTGTGGAGGAGTTGTGGCGATCCCCCTACAGCAGCATTTCTTGGACTCGAGTCTGGCACAATCGCTTCGAAAGAGACATGGGCACTCCGTTCCTGTGAACACAGGTGTGTCCCCTTACCGTTTGGGTCCAGGACTATGACTGAAGGTAGCGTCCGGATCCTGTACTGTTCCATCAACCTGTCTACATCATCGGAACCCGGATGCACCACAAACAGCTGGGTAGAATCCGTGTAGCTTTCTCTGATCTGATACTACAACGTTTAAAACATTGGAATTTTGAGTTTTTTTGTTATTGTAACATGTTTTCCCGTAGTGCATTACAATCCTTTAATGTCTCAATTTTCCACCCTTTTTACTACCCTGCAATTTGTTATTTTTTCAAAGGGCCCATGCAATGTAATTTTTTTAATGCAATCCTTGGAAATGCACCCAATTGTTCCATTCAACCCATGGGCGCCTCGAGGGGGCTTGCTTGGGGGGGCACTTACCACCCCCTCCCCTCCCCCCCCCAAAAAAAAAACAACCAGGAAAACGAGGTGCGAAGCCATATTGCTGTTAAATTTGAATGAGGGGGTAGGGTAAATGCTCCCCTGCTCCCCTCTCAATATAATGAAAAAGTTAAGGAATTTTGGGGAAAAATTTGCTTTGGCCATTTTCAAGGGTATTTCGGCCTTCGGTGCCTTTTTAGTTTTTATGCTAATCCAGATTTCCCATACTTATGAGCAAAAGTGTGATGTCATTTCAGGCGGAAATCTCAAAGTTCAATATTTCAGCACCAAAACTTGCCAGAATTTTGGATATTTTCCTGTCATAAACTTTCTGTTCTTTGATGATTCGTTCTGGTTTCAGCACATGGCAGTAAGCCAGTGAGCAAACTTTTGGCACTAATGTTTTCAATGAGCACATTTTTGGGTTCACAATTTGAACGGAAACCCTTAAACTGAACAGAGTCTTCCTGAAATGACATCACACCAACAGTGCCCTCAGCTGTCCAGAAAAGAATGGAAAGACTTGAATATTTAAAAAAAAAAGTGCACTTTTCAATAAAATTTACCAAAAAGGGATGACAAATATAAAAGGGGTATTTCCCTGTCATAAACTTTCTGTTCTTTGATGATTCTTCACAATTTGAATGGAAACCCTTAAACTGAACAGAGTCTTCCTGAAATGACATCACAGCAACAGTGCCCTCAGCTGTCCAGAAAAGAATGGAAAGACTTGAATACTTAAAAAAAAAAAAGTGCACTTTTCAATAAAATTTACCAAAAAGGGATGACAAATATTTTCCATACATTTAAGAGGAGTAGAAAATTGCACACAATATGCTGCTAAGAAAAGTTTCCTTCATGGGCCCTTTAGCCAGTTCGGGCCGGGATTATTACGACAACAGAACAAGTCCCGGTATTGATTTTCACTCGGGATTGATTTTCAAGTCAAGCAGGTTGAAGCCATCACCCTCCGGCAGCACACTCATATGTCCGGCCTCGCTCACTGCGAGCGGGTCGCTGACAGATATTTCCGGACTGCGTGTTTATCTGTCATCCGTTCTGAATACCGTAAAACCTTTGCGTGTATACATGTCATCCGGCGCGAACTGCTTAATAGGGTTTTTCTGTAAGCACTGTATTCAGTGTTCTGTGAGAGATTGAAAGAATGAATTTACAAGCTTGTTTGAGTTTGATATATAAACCATAGAGCTATACAGGGTGAGTAAAAAAAAAACGAAACCCAAATGTTGGGACCATTGTTATAGGAAAGTTCTGCATGTAGCACTTTCAAAAATATGAAAGCCCAATTTCTAAGCTTTCTTTTAGTACAAGAATCATTCATATCACTCATGTCCTTTTCAAGTTACGGAATTTTAAACACAACCACCGTTTTACGGTTCTGTCCATGGATCGCAAAAAAGTTCAGTGTTCTTTCAGCAAACGAAAACAAATCACATAGGGATGCGTGTGAGTTGTTTTTTGTTTTGCTGAAAGAACACACACCTTTTTGAAAGTGCTACATGCAGAACTTCAATGAAACAATAGTCCCGACATTTGGGTTTCAATTTTTTTTACTCCTGCATTGAATTACTAGAGCGCTAACTCGATGTTCAAAGTAATGTACACAAACCTATGGAGAACTAGAAATTTTGTACGCATTTTGTACGTCTATTTGCATATCTGCGTTTGTATTTCATACCGGTGCGTTATCGAAGCCGATACACCCAAAACTGAAACGCACGATCAGCAAATGAGCGTGTCATTTTGCTCTACGCAAACAGCGCAACGCGTGCATGTATTCGCTGCAGATGTTTTTGCCGCGACGTTTTTTTTAACTGTCATGACCTGCTTAAGTTGTTTGCGTATGTTCTACTGATTGCGCGTTGCATGAAGAGTACACTTTCAAAATTCAATCCATCTAATTTCATTATGTTCTACAAACACGCACATGAATTCTAAATGTCTGCGCACAGGAAAGCGTCTCTGCGCGCAAGAATGAGGAGTTAGTGCTCAAGTCATTTAATATAGCTCTATGATATAAACCCATGACCAGAGTCTCGCAAGTGCAGACATCTTAACCACTTGACCACTGGTTTGAAGCTGATCCAAAGCAGTGTGACCTGCAACCAGGGGCTAATTTCATAGAGCTGCTTAAGCACAAAAACGTCTTGCTTAATAAAATCAGGTTACCGGCCAAAACTCCATGCAATTGTTATGCTAAGTTTACTTAGCTAAATACCAGTCACAAGCAATGTACATCACACGGAGTTTTGGCCGGTAACCTAATTTTATCAAGCAATGTTTTTTCGTGCTTAAGCAAATTTTCTACTTAAGCAGCTCTATGAAATTGGGCCCAGTGCATGTATGAAGAAATATAGTGTTGCGGAAATCCCCACAATACAATTCTCCATTCAAGTTAATGATTCAATTATTAGCATTTTTACCTCATACATATGTGTTTCTATCTCATGGTGACTTTCAGCATTCACAAACATGATGAGAACCAGCTCAATGTTGCTTGGAAGTTTGTCAAGAGCTTCACTGCTAAACTCTGGTATTCTGTCTCTGTACTTGACTGCCTGAAAATGGATAAAAACAGAAACTTTAGTAGGAGTGAAAAGTACAAATTTTGAGAAAAATAAAACCGACCGAGAACGGTACTTTTCCTTGAAGAGAGTTTCTAATTAAGTTCAATTACCTATGTCTTGGTCGATTTTTTTTTCTTCAAGGTTTGTATTTCAGTTAAAAAGTGAGAGTAACAAATAGAAAGATTCCAATCTTTAGGTCCAGCATGGGTATAAGCAGACAATTCTGGATATGTAACAAAAACCCAAACGAGTAAAAAAAAAATTAAAAATTGATAAACCACATCTGAGAGAACAGGCTGTGCCATAAAGCTGACATTTGACCACTGATGAAAGACCCTCAAGTTTGCAAATACTATTATAAAACCAAATGCCATATATAGCTCACTAAATTAAGACTTCCTCAATAAACAGTCAATAAGACTATTCTTGTGTTCCTGAAATCCAAACTCCACTCCAGAGTAGGACTAGCAATAAGCCATTTGCGAGTAACCTTTACCCTGTGGGATTTACATTTGAAAAAAACATCTGGTTCACTGACTTGCTCAGAATGCTTGGCGCATTTGAACTTTGAATTCTCCAGACCAAAGACACTGTTGCTAACCACATGATTCGGGGCAAGCTCTTGCATAGTTACGTAAGAGACGCTCAGCATTAATGCATTGCTCACAATGGGTGAGAATGGCACAAAGACACCAGACCATGCCGGAGCTGGGGGTTGCTAGCGTAAGGCTTGCCCTGAATCACGTCATATAGTAACAGTCTCTTTGGTCGGGAGAATGCAAAGTTAAAACGTTCAAAGCACTGGATTAAGTCAGCGTTCCAGATTTTATTCAAATTTGACTAGCAAATGGCTTATTCACAATGGTTCACTTAAGTGAATTCACGGACCTGTTTTGTGAACCATCGATGGAGGTCCTTTGCCTTCCCCGATCCTCTATGGTCTGTTGGCTGGGCCGTCCAAATGAAGCATCGTAAAACAGGAAGTTGATCTGGTACCCTGAAACCCCTGGTAGGCTACACGACAGATAGGAATCACAATTAAACACCATCATACACTTAGAATTCTTCAGGAAGCTGAATAATATGGAATGCGCTGGACCAGCGATCAATTTCGATCACAGGGACTGAATGACTTACGCGCAGCCAACAAGTCCAATGGAATGTCCTTTTTCAATTGAGACCTTATGCAGTACTGAAGTGTGACGTCATTTAGAACCAGAAAGTGTAGGGCAAAGGAATGGAGTACGCCGCGTGTTGGTTCACGGGCTGAATCCCGCGCACGCTAATGTCTTTCACACACATTTTGTGAGCGTGACGTATTCACTTCGGTACTCCATTCTAACTTAATAAATACCTTAGACAGTTTACCTATTTCTATTGGTCGACATCCCATCACGTGGATGGTTTTAAACGGTTGATAAAACACCAACTGGTTTTAAACACTTTATTCCTGCACCGCTGCATTCCCCGCCACATCGCCCCAATCTCCATAAAAGGAGACTTTTAGCACTACTCGTGCGAGGCACGTACCATAGCTATAGCAAGAGGGGTGTTTCACAAAACATGAGGCAAATTGTTGAACAACATTGTTGGAAAATTGTGAATATTTTACTTGTTTTGACTTTTTGACCGAAAGGACGATGGCCCTCGTCTTCGGCTCGGGCCATTATCAGCGTCAAGGCCCCTAGCCGGTTTTAAACATTCTTGTTTAAAGCCCGAGTCCATCATTTGCAGCTATCAAAAAAAGTAACCGGCGTAATTATTGTTGAAAAACATACTGGTTGAAAGATAGTAAGGGGACTAAACTCCCTGTGAAATTATCCTTTCTGGCAAGCTCTCATTTTGAAGAAATCAACGAAAGAAGGCATTTCCAACGGTGCTTCTTAAGAAGCACCGTAGGAAAATTTAAATTAGTTGTTCGTTTTGTTATTCGGCGCAGCGCGCACAAGCATAGGAACGACGCACAGGCGCCCTCGGTTGCTATAATTCGTCGGATCAGTGCGCAACATCGCGTAAAGATGCAATTCAAAACAATTCGAAACATGATTTAGCAACTTTTGATTTTAAGTTGAGATCCTAGAATGCTGTTTTTCTCGGAATATAAAGCTGAAGCTGAGCTGAAACTTCATCAAGTAAGTTGTTCAGTATCCTTCATTAGATTTTGAACACTTTTGTTGCTTCAAACGAACAAAATGCACTAATTACAAATGATGGACTATAGCTTGAAAACTGGCCGAGCACATATTTGTTCCCTATTATTTCGAACATTTAGAGTACCAGATTTTGTTTAAAGTAACATTATCAGCTCAGCAGATCCACAAAATTATCCACACTGCCTCATGTGTTTAAGGGCTTTGTTTTATTCTATCATTGTTCACGAGACGATTAAAAAAACACGGTTAAATCAAAATATAAAGAGGCTTGAATGCCAATACAGCTGTATCTGAATGAAGTCTATGGCTATTGTTTTCGCAACTGGCATGCCACAATAAATGGCCAAATATAGCTGTGGATGACAATCCTGGACAAATGCTTACTTTAGATTGATTGATAAAAGCACCCATTCTCCACATTCCGTACAAGTTGTTCTTCTGCATCTGAGCTTTCACCCAAAACTTGTGGACATCTTTTTCCAAATTAGGAACAGGACCTAACACAGAGATTGCAGAAACAAAGTTGATATTTTACGTTAGGATAAATACGATGAAAATGATTTTTCAATGCGTTAATAATAATAATAATAATTTGGGAGGCTAATCATCCTTACTCGCAGCTGGTATGCTGAATTGCGAAGGACGCGGCTACAACGTGGTCGGGCCGCTGGCACGTAAAGGCGCCTATGGCTGCCGGCCACATCGACCCATATATGACCACGGAGCACAGCCTGAGATCGAAAGTGTTTGATTTTTCTGGAGGGAGGAAAACCGGAGGACCCGGAGAAAAACCCTCGTGGCACAGGAGAGAACCAACGCACAACTCTACTCACATGTGATCCGCAGCCAGGATTCGAACCGTGGTCACCTTGGTGAGAGGCGAGCGCTTTACGCACAAGCCACCCATGCCACCTATTGTCCACCGTTGTCAACACTGTTTTGCTCAATGCACTATATGTCTTGTTGTGTTTACAGTCACATTGCAGAAGCAGAGCTTATTTTGTGCATGCTGATATATGTAGGTTGAACTCGCAGCATTTTTCACCAAAGCGTGCAAATAGTCCTACTAATTTCAGGAAAATAGATGTTGTTCAAATTGTTTTCATAAATACCTATGACAGTTCACCCATTCCTATTGGCTGAGAGCCCGTCACGTGGCAAGTCTAGAACGGTTGATAAAGACCGGCTGGCTAGTCTTAAACACTTTTCCAGTGTCGCCTGAAATTTGGACTCCAAAGAAATCTGGTGACTTTTACTGTTTTATTGGTTGAACGTTGACAATCCTCACGTAGGCATACTACATGTATGTGTAATATTACCAGTGAGTTTGTATTTCATAGTACAAAATTCACACTACACAAGCACAGCTGCATTCTGCGCCAAATCGCGCAGTAGGCGCAACGCACAGGCCAATCTCTAAATAAGGAGTTGTTACGACTTTTCGCAAGAGGGACATACCATAATACAGCTAGAGGGGTGTTTAAAAAAACATGAAGTAAAAGTGTTGAACTAAATCATTAAAAATGTATTATTTTTGACTTGTTTTGACTTCTGGGCTGAAAAATTTAAATTGTTTAACCAAGAAGATATTTATGAGTGGGAATTAATGGGCTATGGGCTCAGCTGGTATTAAATACAATGTCTAAGACCGGTTGAAGTCTGGATGCTGATTACCTGAGCCGAAATCAGTATCCAGACTCCAACCAGTTTTAAAAATAGTGTTTAAAACCAGCCAAGCAAACATTTCTTCTTTGAATACAGTCACACATCACCAGCTTTTAAGAGAGTTCCATCACAAGTCCAGTCGCAAGAAACAGGGGGATGAACTCCATTTCTTTGTCACAGTTCATCTGATTAATTTGTGAGTTGATTTGGGACTTATGAGGACTTCTTCTTCTTCCTTACAAGTGCAGACTTCCTTGATGAAGATAAATGCAATGCAAGAAACAACGGGGGGAACCCCTCTCTTAGCAACAAGTGTTACTGGGTTCTTTAATATGCGTTATACAACCCATAGGACCTACGGTTTGACATCCCATCCGAAGGACAAAGCAAATTCATGGTTAAGTGTCTTGCTTAAGGACACAAGTGTCAAGACAGGGACTCGAACCCACACTCTGCTGATTAGAAACACCAGAGCTTGAGTCTGGTGCTCTTAACAACTGACACTCTATTTGTGATGGACAAGACTACTTTGCAACACAGCAATACTGAAATTTGTATCCTTGTGGAGACATTTCTTTGTTCTCGTGAAGTAAATTTTTTGAGTTTGAAAGTGAAGTTTTAAAATGCTCTTATGTTAACCAGAATTAATTTCCTTGGCTGAAATTTGGACTTAATATCCCTTTTCTAAAACTCTTCCATTTGCGACAGATCAAACCACCTTGGAAATTCCTAGTTTTTGAGTAAAATCCATATATCTATTTCGTGAAAACCTTGTGGAGACATATTCATCTATAGAAATTGCCCTGTGGAGACGTGTACAATATTTTGTTCCCTATTGTGTGCACGTCTCCAGAGGGCACAGTGTATCAGATCTACTTACCATGTGGCCTAAAGAGGACACACACTGGGTGGTGGATGGCCCTTTTAATGTAGTATCCAAGCATCGCCTCTTTGAACACCGGCAACAATTCTTGGTGAGATACTTCAGATTTGGCTGCACTAACTGTCCCTTCCTCTTCAACTGAGACGCCATCATCTGCTGCTGTTCCTGCAGTCGACGGCAACAGAGACGATGCATCGCCTTCCTTTGAACTCGGATACGACGCATCAACCGGTTGCTCAAGTGATTCCCGTTTCAACTGTTTCGCATCTGAAGCGTCCTCCTTGTGTAGGGGGTGCTCAGTATTTGACCTCTGACCCGATGCCCCATCATCAGGCTGGGTTGTTGAGCTTCTGTGATTGTCAGTGTCTGCATACTGTCCCAAGCTTTGGGAGGCTCTACCTTGTGGTGACGAAAGTTGAGCGTCGTTTTGGGGTTGGGTGGTACTTGAGGCATAGGCTCCAGCTGGTAAACAAAAGATAAATTAGTTCTGCTGACATACACATTGTTCTTATAGCCAAAACATTGACAGCCAGAATCTTACTATTTGCAGTAACACTAAAAGTTTCAAGAGAACGGGGAAAAAACAGAAGTAATTTAAACACGGTATTATTTGGTAAGAATCCATTTATCTTTGCAATCTTTAGAAACACTTTAAAACTGCACTGTTAGATTGTCTGGATCGTTGTGCAATTCAAAATTATCTGCAGCGTTTATCACGTGGCCTCGTGATTGGCCCATCTGATGCCGCCCGCGACATGCACTATAAAGACGGTGTCTGTGGTCGGTTCACAGACCAAAAGACTCTGACGTCAGGCCAACAACACTTCACGAGCATGCACGTTAAACAGGCATGCAACTGGGAATTTAGAATAAAAGAGGAAATTCCAAACAAAACAAGACTTTGTTCAGTATTTTTCAATTTAGTAATGGCATTCATGAGAAGTAAAAAACGAGGAAATCAGCTGATCCGAGGAAAAGTTGCATGCCTGACTCAAGCTGTAGCTTCGGTACGGAAAGGGACTGTTTTCATCATTATTTTTGCACCATCGGGATCGATTCAAAGTCAAACATAACGTGAGTAGCCTATGCCAAGAATTACTGCTACTGGGCAAAGTCTTGGGGTACAATGGTAATCCTTACTTTTAGGACACCTCTATTTTGTACGAGTTCTGTTCAAAACTGACTTTTGCAGATGACTGTCCAGTACCAAAGTGACTTTTGCAGGCTAAAGAAGTCTTTTTTCTTCAGACAAACTCATGTTAGTTATAATTTTGAAAGCACTTTCAAAGAAAATGTGACTTTCCTACTTTTTTTTGCAGTTCGCCATCTTGCTTTTTAAATTTATTTTCTGTTTGTCATCGTCGTCTTTAACCCCTCATAAATCAAAACCCTGCCCTCTTTCTACAAAATCAAACCTGCTGATATTCAAGAGGTGTCATTGCCAAATGTTCAAATGTGTCAATAAATATCAGAATGTCACTTTTGAGTGTCATTTTGGTCAGCTGTTTTGTGAGTCTTAACCTTATATAGGAAAGGGGTCCTAAAAGTAAGGATTACCGTACAATATACAGCAGCCACTCCAAAACTCACTTCCATATTATTCGTGGAGTATACAGCATGTTCGCGTTGATATGCCTACCTAAGGTTATTTCTAGGGGTACAGCGCAGCAATACCGAGGCCACACAAGCATGAAAAGTGGAGCTACACATGTATAGTCGGACTCCCTATTATCGCGGCATCCCTATTATCGCGGCATGGGAAATTTCTCTTTTTACAGTGTCAAAACTCCTTCAAGTGGCGATTTTTATCCGGTTCACCAGTCATCGAGGATTTTCTACCGAGTTGTATAAAAAGGACGATTAAAAAATGTTGTGTCTTTCGGGACTTTTAACGATTTTAATAAATATTAACGTTTTCCAAAACTTGCAAAATTTTCCCTCACCGTGTCTGCTAAAAGGTACCGTTTATATTTTAACATAAATCTTTAATTGCGCTCTGACCATGAAAGTTCCATTGTCTGGTTCCCATTCTTCAGCTGCAAATGTAAAATGAAGTCGAACGACGATATTTGCAGCGCGAAATCGTAACAACTTTTACGGGATCAAAATAAGGCGCGCGTTAGCGAAAATAAAACGGCACACCGTGTAAAGTGAATGGCGCCCTCAATCGCCGATCAGTAGACTTGCCTCAGGGATTTGTGTTCTCCTTTCGGGGGAAGGGCAGGGTCTTAAGAAATCATCCTGCAGAAAATTGGTCTTTAATCAACTTGAACGTTACAGGGAAAATATCAAACTTTATTCAGGGGGTGTTTTGGTCAAAGATAAACTATGAACAAAAAAGTTTGGATCATTATAAAAACCACTTCCCGCATACCGCGATAATAGGGAGTCCACCTCCGTTCGCACACGCCGCACATGTCTATTTTCACAGGCATCGTACACGGAATAAACCACACCACCGTCGGATTTGTTTATATTAATTTAAAAAGGAAGAGTTATACTACACATAAGACAGGACAATTCTGGAAGGTTAGTGGGCAATCTCTATTCCGAACGAGAAACGTGATAAGTACCGCGATAATACGGCGTTCCATCCTACATGTAGTAACGGGAGAATGACAAGAATAACGGAACATGTCATGGGGAGGAAGGGAGGAAAGTGAAAGGCTTACCTACCTTGAGAATGATTTACGATCAGAGCAAACATACAAAATAAGATTCTCATTTTCAAGGTAGTTGAAATCTGCCCAATAAATGACCGATTATTTTAAAAGTACGCGGAAAACACCGATTAATGATTGCCCCTTTCTGTCTTCTCTGGCATTTTAGCAGCGCAGCGGCGTCGAAATCAAGGCAACCAATATAGTCTGTACCTCTGATCGCATCAGACTCACTCTACGTAAAAATGCTACGGAAACCAGACAAACCTGAACTGAGTCTGGTACCTTGATCGTCCAGCGCGCAGATAGCGTCTTTTTGCTTATTCAAATTGGTACCATACTAAGCTGAAATTTCGGGGCGGGTACATTTTTGATTTGTGGGGTCCCACGAAAGTGCAACTTCCGAGGTAACGGCAATGCACTTTGATTTTTGCTGAATTTAATAGTGTCTCTGGCAAAACTGACCTTACTTTACAAATCCATTTATCATAAAATCGCAATTGATGTCGATCAATACCAAGTTGATTCCAAAGGGGACAAAATCTCAACTAGAAAATCATCTTCAATATCCTTTGTTCACATCTAAAATGGACTGCTACAGATACTCTTTCATACCAAGAACAACAGCTCAGTGGAACTTACTTCCTACAGCAGTCAGGGAAGCTACTTCAGTGGAGTCCTTTAAGTGAAGGCTTCAGGCCTACAGTTGTCTTCAACACTCAAGGGGGCCTTCTAACAAAATTATATCCCTGGGATACGTCCTCATATAAATTATCCAGTCATTTGTATGTTTTTAGAAAATGTTATTTTAAGTAAGGATATGTAGGTAGAAATCCCCAAACTATACTTTTTAAAAAATGGGTGGGGGGGGGGGGGTAAATATACACCAAATTAATATGGAAACAAATGTACGATGCAAATTAGGCACACTTCCAGTTGCAGGTGTCACCCCTTCTAAATATCTTCTCCACAAGGCTATAAGAATCTATCTGCCAAGTTTGGTGCTTTGGACCAGTCGGACACGATTCCGACCATAAGTTGAGCACTCTATAGTTTAGTTAGCTCTAGCTCTAAGGGCCCCGCCCAAGACTCCTATTTGACCATAGTATAGCCAAATAGGAGTCTTGGGCGGGGCCCATACCCAACAGTCCCGTTGCCCGGGCGGGGGCGTGGTGTGTCCCCCCCCCCCCGGCAAGCATCCCCCATGGGCAAAAAAGAATGCATATGTATTTATGTACTTTTCTTTTTATTGTAGTGTATAGTATGTCCCTAGTTGGTATTGTGTCCCCCATGCCAAAGCTGGCAATGGCGCTGCCCCTATCATATATGCAAGTACATGTAATGATTCAGCCGGCCTGCCTACAACTTCTTTATACGAGATCCAGCTATCCAACTTCCGTGACCGACCGCACCGTGAATTTTACAACAAATTTTGCTCGAATCATCCATTCAATGAATTTTCATCATCTGTGCAAGCGAAAAGTCTTCTAAACGGATTTAGTTAGAAATGAAACCAATCATTGTCGGTTTTCAAAATCATTCGGGACTTTTTCCACATTCCCCATGTACGGGGGGGGGGGGAGTGCGCCTCTGTTTGGGTTTTCACGGGCTGCTGAATATTCAATATAAAAATAGTATATGGTTTAACCCTTTGCATTACAGACTCTCAGTTTCCTTTCTGATTGAAAGGGAATGAGAATTGAAAAGGCCATTATTCACTTTTTTGTACGGCCTACCGCGTCAGACTACATACAACTCTGATCTGATGCACAAGGCCGATATATATACTCGCTGTTGCTCAACGAGTGTAGGCCTAGTTATGAGTCAGCCATTAAATATACACATTATTTGCTCACAATTTTTGGGTGCAAAAATGGGACCAAAGAATGATGGACATCGCAAATGGTAATATCTTGTAGGCTTTCGGCCTACAAAACATGTTCAACTCAGCGACAGCCCTTTTTTAAATAATTGTCTGCGGATACAATCCTGCTAATTTAGCTGTCTGCCTAAGTTCAAGTTTAACCGCACGTTTCCGGGTTCGTGTGTGTAAAAGCTCTGCCAACGACATGCAGTTAATGGCTCTGGCGTCTTTAATTCTGGTTACTGTGGTCGGATTTCAATATGTTGGAGGTAAGTTTTTAATCATCAAAAACTGGAACAAGTTATCATAGCCAAGATCATTGCTGTACAGTCGAGTTCTTACAGAGTTGTAACGAGTCACTGATCATAAGTGACTCGAGTCGAGTCATTTTAAGGAAGTGACTCGAGTCGAGTCATCAGGCCAAGAAGGTCGATTCGAGTCGAGTCGATTCGAAAGTCAGCTCGAGTCAATTCGAGTCACGAATATTTGAACACTATTTGACAAATGAAGACAAGACAGAAAGTCATTATACCATTTAGGCAGGCCTACAGTTAACAAGAAGTGAAACTTCGATCTTAAAGGCTATATTTGGTTTGGCTTCGGGTCTAGATTTGTCTGATTCGGGTCTTATCGCTGATAATATCAAAATCAAATTGCATTATACAAAGCTGTTTCTGATTATTTAAAAGTGGGCATGTATCTATTTAATTTTTAAAAAGGAGGGCATACTTTTAGCCGACGTTCGAATCCAAGAGCTTTATAAGACATCGCCCAAAGCCAATGATGAAACAACGCGAATTGTAAAATGTGTTTACAATCCGGTTCCTGGATAGTATTTTGTGCGTTTCAGAACCATGAGGTGGGCGTCTGTGACACGTTGTATGTTTGTACATGACAAGCGGCTGCTGTACCGTACAGTACATTTTGAACCGTTATAGTAATTGCACATTTTGTTCGCAACGTATTGCTTTTATTTTGGGGACTCGTGTATGTCTTATTAGCCTTCGCTAGGGTCGAGTCGAGTCACTGTTGCTCGCATCACAGTGACTCGAATCGAGTCATTTGCTCGCACTGACTCGAGTCGAGTCATTTACCCTTCGAGCTGATTCGAGTCAACAAACACTGTGACTCAATACACTACAACACTGTACACAATATCTTTATTAAAACCCTGGTTAGGCAACTTTGTTGAATATTTTTTTACTTTTAAACTGAGGTTTTATCGCCGGTGATGTTTGGAGACAATTGTGACGACGATTCTTGAAATCGCATTTGTGGACGAAAGAGGTATCAGGGTCATTGCGTTTAAATGGTGATATTCTTTGAACGGATTGAGCAATGTCGGTATTTTTTCAACCAAAAGTAGCTTATGAAATTGGCTTTCTGGTCATATTATTTTCAAATATGAAATATAATTTTTGGGTTTGGGTTCCGCTTTTTCCCCCCAACCGGTATATGCACCTTTACGACTTTTTAGAAAAATTCAACATAATAGCTATGATTCGACTATTCGACCCACTTATAATCAGTCACAGACCCTAATCACAAGGCATAAGGCAACCTATTATGCCATCCTGATTCTTATGTTTCAGGTGATACATTTCATCAGACGATGGTCACACCCGTTCCTTACGGAGCAGGACTACCCGGGGTGAGCCTCAGCTGTATACGCAGCATACCAGACATCTACTTCGGCTACTCGTTCGGGAGACCGTTCACATTGAACGTCCCGGGTTCTGCTTCCGGTCTTACCGGTTTCCCGAATGGGACGATATCGGATAATACTGTTCAGAATGCTACAACGTGGTACCTTCCCCCGACGGTAGACGCCACCGGCTTGTTTCACTGCAGAGGGAGGAATCCCGTCACACGGCTGAGTTCAGAAGTGTACAGCATCATCCATAGCCACCTGAGTGAGTGCATTCCAATACAATACAACCTCGTCCCGAGTGCTTACTTTATTTCCAACCTCGTTTCCAATTGTAAGCCCTGGATAGGAAACTTTCTTCCTGTATCCTGATTCGATACCGCAGTTGGCTAGAAATGGATATATATATCGTGTACTTTGTGTTGTTATTCACAACGTGCAGTACGTGTTTTCGCGATCATTCGTCCACCCCTTCTCCAATTTTCCAATTTCCTTTCCAATTTGTTAACAATAATATGAAATGTGATACTGCGTGGTTGTCTCGTTAAGATCGCAACAGTTTAATTAAAATAAAATCATGTTTTCGTAACTCACGCCATGCTCAATCTGCGACGAATTGATTCTGTTAATACCCCAGACACCGCACACACACAAACAAACGCAAATGTAACGCACAGGCAGGCACCAGACTATTCCTCATTTGCATACGTGTTCAGAAATCTTACACGTGCAAATGATCCAATACCAGGGTGAGAGAGCAGGTAGTGGTGGGCGCGTACTGCTTGACACCCTGGGGACGAGGTTAATTCCAATAACCATTCGCCCAGGGGCGGCGGAACGTTTTTCAAAGGGGGGGGGGGGGGGTGGGGGCAACACCAAAAAGGGGTTCCAGCTCAGAAAAAGAGGCACCTTCCGTCGGTCGGTGTGAAGGTGGAGGAAAAAAATATGGTCCCGTTCATTTCGCTATAAACGACGAGGAACAAATTATGAATACGTTGTCCATCTTGCTCTTTGTGTGTTTCTTTTACCTAGTTATGTGTAGAGACACCGTTTCGTTTAATCAAACACCGTAACCAATTGGACCACAGCACCCCTTTGAATATTCTCCCGTGGAGAATATGCTGTCATAGGAAATGAACATAATGCTCGAAAGGCAAATGCTCCAATGCATTTAACAAGTGTGAGATTGACGATGAAGTGGCACTGAGTTTTGCAGTTTGTTTTATAATTGAAATCACGAATCTAGAAGAAAAGATACGTTTTCACTATAATAACGTTTATATGATTTCATGTGCATCTCTGGTATATTATATATGATATGATATTTCAAAGGTTCGACACTGTCTTAACTTTATATCACTCTCTGCCAAAAAAAAGGCAGAACATCGAACCTGATTGGGAGAAAGGCATGCCTCAACAGCCTCATTTCCCTTTTCTTGGGGGAGGACAGTCTTGGATAACTTATAGCTAAAGTGGTGACAGTACTTTCCTGCCTGCCACAGACCTTCATTTTATTTTTATTTTCACTACAGAGAGTTGTGTACATCTATTTGTTCCTTGTGGTATTGCAGGGAAGTTTGAGCCCGCTGATGGCCAAGTAACAAAGACAATCAACAAGGGAGAAAATGCGACTCTCGCGGTGATCTCAGCCAACAACGGTAGCAGTCCCGTCTGGCACCGAAATAACGAAGGAATTCTCCTCGATTTAGACCCAACTCGGTATGAGATCCAACTTACAGCAGACGAGGTAGCAGATGGCGATCTGTTTGTTGTCACAGATAGAGATGCGCCACTCGATGACAATCACTTTGGGATGATCAGGCTCATTGTCAGAGGTAGACGAGTTATTTCAATGGAGGACAAAATTAAACAACTTTTGTTCAGCTCGTTAAAGCCTAGATGTCACAGATTTATACATAAGTTTGATGCAAGTTATCAGTTGCTAGTCTGAAGTAGAACCTGTACCAATGGACCTCACCTTAGTTCTATTGGCGTTCTTTTCTTGTTAGATGATGTACCAAATATTTGTTTTGTTCCAGGCTGTGTTGCAGGCAAGTGGGGTCCTCCTGATTGTAAAGGGGTGTGTGATCTGTGTTACAATGGAGGAGTGTGTGATGATGAGACAGGAGATTGCATCTGCCCACCAGGATTCAGTGAACCAAACTGCCTCACAGGTAAGCTCATTGCCTGGTCTGCCTGTCTGTCAGGCGGGCTGTCGGTCGGAGTGTGTGATGTGTGCTACAATGGAGGAGTGTGTGATGATGAGACAGGAGATTGCATCTGCCCACCATGATTCAGTGGACCAAACTGCCTCACAGGTACTAGGTAAGCTCATTGCCTGGTATGTCTGTCCGTCGGGTGGGCTGTCGGTCTGAGTGTGTGATCTGTGTTACAGTGGAGAAGTGTGTGATGATGAGACAGGAGATTGCATCTGCCCACCTTGATTCAGTGGACCAAACTGCCTCACAGGTACTAGGTAAGCTCATTGCCTGGTATGTCTGTCCGTCGGGTGGGCTGTCGGTCTGAGTGTGTGATGTGTGTTACAATGGAGGAGTGTGTGATGATGAGACAGGAGATTGCATCTGCCCACCAGGATTCAGTGGACCAAACTGCCTCACAGGTAAGCTCATTGCCTGGTCTGCCTGTCTGTCAGGCGGGCTGTCGGTCGGAGTGTGTGATGTGTGCTACAATGGAGGAGTGTGTGATGATGAGACAGGAGATTGCATCTGCCCACCATGATTCAGTGGACCAAACTGCCTCACAGGTACTAGGTAAGCTCATTGCCTGGTATGTCTGTCCGTCGGGTGGGCTGTCGGTCTGAGTGTGTGATCTGTGCTACAATGGAGGAGTGTGTGATGATGAAACAGGAAATTGCATCGGCCCACCAGGAGTCAGTGCCTCACCGGTAAGTTCATTGCCAGGTCTGTCTGTCAGTCTATATATCTGTCGGGCGGGCTGTCGGTCTGAGTGTGTGATCTGTGTTACAATGGAGGAGTGTGTGATGATGAGACAGCATGATATTGCTGCATCTGCCCACCAGGATTCATGGGATCAAACTACAGAGAAGGCAAGCTCAGTGCCTGTGTGTTGGTATTTTGGACCGTCAGGCTGTGTGTGACTGAAGTTTAAAAAAAAATACAGTGGAGGGGTGCCTGATGGTGAAAGAGGAAACTGTTTCTGCCCACCAGGATTCAGAAGACTAAACAGCTTCATGGATAAGCACATCCACAAATCGTTTACCAAACAGGTTCCTCTGTATTCCTGCCACAATGTTGCTCTGGAGCACTCTACATGTCATATTAACTATATAGGCTGTATATATACGATTTAGAAGAAAGACTGCCTGTTTAAAAGTTACTTTACATTGGTAGTCTGTTTGTTTGTTATATATTTTAACAGCATGTGGCAGGCACAAGTTCGGTTGGTACTGTGAATACGAGTGTGGCGCCAACAACCTCATTCAGAGTTGTACAGGCAGCCAGTTTGGTCTGCCAGACCCTTACGGGAACAGCTGCATCTCGGGATACAATGGCACAGACTGTGACACAGGTATAAGAAATATTTCAGCATATAGGACCACCATATATGGTGAAACTCAAACCGTAGTATTGGTGCAGATGCCAGCACTGGGCACCTCGGCAAATTTGCGGCCGACCCGTGCAACCATATAAAGATGAGACATCACTTTTCTTCTTTAAATGTTCAAAACCCATCAAGAACTTCTGTGTTATGTTCCCTCTCACAACTCCAACATTTTTGCCAGTATGTCGTACCAGCAAGCATTTCAGACTAAGGCAACCTGAAAATTCAACAACACTGTTGTTCCGTCGAAGTTTTACATAAATACAAGAGTATGGCTACCGCCTCTTGGCCCAAACTTTGTGCGCAAAGACACAAACTTGAGATTAGCGAATTCTCACTGTTTGCGAAAGGGTTTAGCTTCTTTAAAATTGAAGTGACCTATGCCAAATGTTGTTGGGTATAAGATGTCGATCAAACTTGACGATGTCGTCTTCATTTCAGAATGCCCTGCCGGGACATTCGGTGCTGAATGCACACAGAGTTGCCACTGCCAGTCGGGTGCCTGTAATGGCTTTACTGGAGAATGCTTAGGGGCGTCTGGATGTTCTACAGGCTGGTCGGGCACAAACTGCCAAAGTAAGCAGTTGGAATGACTATAGTTAAAAGTATTTCCCGCTTAAAGTCGATTGAAATTGGTAAATAAACTTCGGTTACAATAATACTAGCACACCTGCATGCACCACTGATCCGAGGGACACAGAAAATATTATGGTGGTCATGGTAGACTGTTTTCAAAACTTCCATCACTTGAAGCAAGCATGGGGGAAAAATGGATGATCAATGTAATACATTGTATGTCAAATCACCTGCAGACATTCCCATCCTAGGAAAAAAGTATATATAACTACAAGTACTCTTCCAGACATTACAAATTAAGGGTTATCTCAGTTCATGTATAGGCTGATAATGACTGTCTTATTGTTTTATGCCAACCACACCTTTAAAGGGTTGAGGATTGAATTACAGAAAAAATACACAACATAGCCCTTTCAGCTGTAACATCCTTCCCTTCTTGAATTGTTTGGTGCAGTTCCTGATATGTGCCCGGTCGGATATTACGATGTAGACTGCCTCAGTAAGTGTCGATGTCCCAACGATACAGCGTGTGACAAGGACAATGGAAAATGCGTGTGTGCTCCAGATGATGTTAGTTGCTTATCATCACCTGCTAATGGTATGTACCTGATAGACAGAGCACGTGAAAACAATGGCTTCGAATTATGGAACGACGCAGCTGTCGGACCTCAAGTTCGGGAAGAAATAGATTTACATCATGAGTCGAATCGTTTGATGCTTGCGCCGAATCGCCTGACGTCTGCACCGAAACGTTTGACGAGTGAACTGCATGCTCGTTTTGACATAACGGCTGAATCGTTTGACGTCTGCGTTGAATCGTTTATTAATGCATCGGTCGCAAAGAAAGGCAGCAGCGGCGTTCCATAAATCGAAAAACTGATAAGCATCTGACATGGTGATTTGAAAAGAGCTTGGGATGGATCAGTACATACAGTCCTCACAAGCCAACAAGCAGCGGCGGAACGGTTTTCAAACTGGGGGGGGGGGGGGGGGGATCATCAAAAAGGGGCACTTGCACATCCGTGCTGAAATGTCGACAAGTTTGGGGGTTTCACCGGACACTGGGCCTCCGTAAAACCAAATGGTGTGTGTGTGTGTGTGGGGGGATCATCTTCCAAAATAGGGGTTGCTCTTATACATTATCATGCTAATTTTCAGGGCGCATTGTAAGGGTTTTGGGGCTTGGTTTTCATATTCCTCGTTCATATCAGAACTCTGTATACCATTTTGGGAAATAGTTACTGGAAACAAATTATCCGAAACTTTAGGGCAAGTTTTGCTTTCATCTCGAGGGGGCAATTTTATGCTCGAGGGGGCACATTTATATCCGCAAAAGGGGCACTTGGGTAAATCGGGGGGGGGGGGGGCGGTTCCGCCACATCTATGAAGCCAACTTTGCTTGTGGCTTGACTCAATGGTCTTGCAATTTCATTTGTGCTTTGCTTGTGAGCCGGCTGTTACATTTACATGTGATCCATTACAGCTTCGATAAATTAAAACATTTTCTATATACCAATTGCAGGGAATGCTTTTCAACCAATTATTTCTGTCTACATCGAGTCAGAAGATTATTGATAAACCTCACTATATTAAGAATTGACAACCACTTGTTATTCTCGTTTATTTTATTAACAAGAAACACAGTTCAACATTGTCCTCCTAGCGGCCATTGGTGGTGGTGCTGTTGCCGTCACAGTAAGCTTGTGCGTGGCCCTTGTCGTTTGTTGGTGCGCTAGAACACGACGCCCTTCCAGACGACCGGATCAACCTGATGACGGGGAAAACTATGACGTAAGTGCTTGCTCAAAAGACACTGATGAAGAGGTATATAGATCATACTGCCGAGAAAATAGTCTATCAGTCTCTTCTAGTAGTGGAGGACTGGAGGTCAACTACATTATTCCACAACTGACAACAGAAGCTTGTAGCATTGTAAAGTAGACAATGTTCCCAAATTAAGACAACATGTGAATCTTGTCTGGTTATAAAATTTCTTGTGTTCTAGTAAAAGGAAGTGGTGAGTGAGCGTAAACAAATTAATCCATTGGTAATAATCGATGAAATTTTCTTAAAGGGTTCATGCGATGAAATTTTCTTGGGAACATATTTTTTTTTTGCAACTTTCTACTCCTCTTCAAGTATGAAAACTATTTTTAACATACCTTTTTGGTTATTATATGTAAAAGTGCACTTTAAACATTTCCATGCTTTTCCGGACAACTGAGGGCGCTGTTGCTGTGATGTCATTTAAGGAAGACACTGTTCGGTTCAGGGGATTTTCTGTTCAAATTGTGACCCCAAAATGTGTTTATTGAAAGCATTTATGAGAGAAAGCTTTGCTCATTGGCTCATTGCAATCTACTTACATACACAACAACGAATTACCAAAGGGAATTGAAATTTGTGACACGGCAAAATATCCAAAATTCTAGCAGCTTTTGCATTTGCAGAACGAAACTACACAAAGGTTCACATTTAAAGGATTGCATTATAAATATTGCATTACATGGGCCCTTTAATTGATGCAATTTGTGTTATCAAATCAAAGTTAAGAACATGCAAAGGGTAGTAGGTATTTCGTTGGGCCAGTTATGAAATGTACACCGAAGGAAAACAAAATTAACCAAAGGATTAACCCGGCATTTCCCCCATACTCGCGCACGGTCGGTATTGGGGCGAGTGCCATAATGCCTCGCCCATTCCAAGAAGATGAGGCTATTGACAATGTACCTTAAAGGGAATATACAACATTTTACAACGTTTTACAACGTTTATACCTCTGGTTCTTTTCAGAACCATTCTCTTAGTTGAGAAATTATTCGCACATGGTGTTTCCGCAAACCTTTCATTATTTAGTATCTCCACCATGCAAAGCCTCAAATCTTACTTGCTTTTCCCGTAATTTTCAGAAATGAACGGGTTTTTTTTGGGGGGGGGGGTTAGTATTTGATAGCAGTTATTGTTTCACTAACTTTTTTGAAGTTTTGTGTCCGTAGATGCTGAAAAAAACAAGAAAAACAATCATGTTCATGTAGTCTGGTGCCCTGACCATACTCAAGATGAAACAGAGCAATTAATAGACCTCGCAGAATCGTACGGTCAGGGAACCAGTCTAGCTGGCTTCACGGACGTTTAACCAATTGCAAACAAAATGTGGACTGAATACATTTGGTAAACTGGGGGCAGTATAGTTGAAAAAATGTCAGGTTTTTCCAACGCTGGTCGGCCGACCAGCGTTGAAAATTGTTCCAAAATACCACTTTTCTTGAAAATGACAGCACACCAGGTGCCATGATTCTACAGGATGCTTAAGACTGTCATTCACTAACAGTCCAGTAGGGTATTTCATAAAATTTGGTAGTTTTGTTTTTTGATGTTTTGACGTTTTTTTTCCCCCGGTATGGGTTTATCCATCAGGCACCACAAGAACACGATGATGTCCAAGCAACGGGTCCTCCGGGTGGGAAGTATTCCTTGGCGGTCGGAGGCCAGGGCTGGCAATTGCCAAGGCCCACTCAGGCACACCCTGAACCCGCAGCACAGATTTACGAAAATGAGGACGGCGATAACCATTCAGCCGAATACACGAATGTTAACCCCGGTAGAGGGCGCGTTTCTTACACGAACAACATTGAGATGGAGAATTATGAACCAGTAGGCCAATAGGTCCGCCAAAGCCCGGATGCCATTTTAATACAACAAAGTAGGCGCCGGTTCATGTATGATGTATTATGCAAATATGGCAGTATATGACACACCACACGATTGATCAAATCATTCGGGGTGAGGTTCGAAACGTTGGAACGCTGAAGACTTATAATTATTTGCTTAATACAGTGATTCGGGGCAGGTGTTTGAAGCTGCAGATACACTGCAAAAACTGTAGTGTTAATTTAACACCATTCGGTATCTATATAGGACAACACCAGTAAAATTTAACACCAGATGGTCCTATATAGATACCAATGGTGTAAATTTAACACTGCAGTTTTTGCAGTGTATGACCGTTATGAGGGTTCCAATTAAGTGCATGTTATGGGTATCATCACCTGTTGTCCTGTTTAATGCATTTTCCATTATTTTGGTTTTTAATTTGACATGATGCAACCATTAGATGCTTGAATTTTTCAACCAGTGTTGGTTTTATAATAAATTTAAGTATATACATGCCCATTTTTTAAAAGATAACAGTGATGGGTCAGCTATAACCAGCCAAACTCCTGCGTTTTTTTTAAATGGTACCTAATGGTTGATCTTCTGCTTGTACAAGTTGCCTGATTTGCATTTATGTTAACCAAATGCGTCCAATAATTTTGTGCTTGTTACGGTGATCTTTTTACATAATTTGATAACTTGCACAAGATATGTCAATAATGAAAACCGAACTCACCGTTAAGGACAGAAAGGTCATGGTCTGACGAGACAATGATTCCATTAATTAACTTGAGCATTAATTACGAGTCCAAACTTCGAATCGTTGATTAAGAATGTGACATTAATTCACACGTTCGGTTCAACCGAAAACAATTCTAAATTCGTTTACACATTTTCCAAAAACGTTTGAACGAAACCCGAATTATAAAAAGGGACTTTATGTTCACGCAATCGTCCTTTGAGTTAAACATACATAGCACATATAATTAGCGATGTTTTCAAACCTATTTAATTTACAAAACCTTCGAAGCACTTCAATACTTTATTTGATTACATTCGGGGCACATGCATGTAGTTATGTTTTACTTTTTCAATGACTGCCACTGCTGATTTATCATGTCAGTGACGCCGATCTGCAGACGTAATGAGCATGCATCAGCCTTTGTGAATGGCTAAACGTTTAAACTTTTAAACGGTTCTTAAAATAATTTACTAAACGTTTACAAAATTAAACGCAAAGTCATTTCCTCATCGCTGATTTATCTTGGAAAAACATAAGACTATAATACCTTCAAGTGTTGCGATCTCTCTTGTATTTGTAGATGTGTGGTATCTATCAGTGTTTTTGTGGGTTTTTTTTTAAACCCAATGTGGTATTATTGATTATTGTACATTGCGCTACACACAACATGACTTGCCAAAATCCGTTGTGTGCATAAATTACAACAGTTTTGGACGGATTATAACATGACTCTTCATTATTTTCAATATATCTCCTTTGCAAATCAAAGTACATGTATTGCTAATAGGCCTATTTATCTTACGATGTCGATCAGTTGTATATTCTTCTCATTAAGGTGCACGTTCATTTTATAAAGCAATTGCAATGGTCGGCTAAATATGGTCGACACGATATAATTGTGTAAGTACTGACATTTACTCAGGCTCATTAATGACGGTAAAAAAATATATCAATAATGGTTCATTTAAAAAAAGTGTTGTAAGATGATGGCAATACAATTTCAATATAATTTTGAAGTTCTATGACAAAAACAGCAAAATTCCAGCTCAAACAAGCCTTTCATGTCCGATTTTATAACCATTATACTAGTCTAATATTTCCTTTGGGTGGGGGGGGGGGGAGAAATTGTGCTTGCGCGTCAGCGAGGATGTGGTTAGCATTATAAAGGGTGCACACCGGTAAATAGGCCTAAATCCGTCCGCCGAGCTCATGAATAAAAGTTATACCCTCAAAATAGTCTATATTAGAGAATTCCGAGAACCAAAACATTAAGGAATTGAAGAGATATGGCAATGAATCGCTGACCCGGACTTGGCGCTTTCAATTCTGAGCATTTTGGATGCAATTGGGTTCGAAAGTGGCTATTTTGCCATGTTGTGGAGGGAGCGTTTTTCAAGATGGCTACTTTTCCGCTTTGAGGAAAATGGGGGTCGTCTTCTTTGGGTGAGAATATCGCCAAAAGTCAATAGTCAACCCACCAAAAAATGAAAAGAAAATGAAAGATGACATGTTGATCATCATTTTTACGTGTAACTTAAATACCTGTGAGAATTCTGAGTATTTTTTAACGAATTTTGAAGTGTCCGGTTAAAAAAACGTGTCGACATTTCAGCACGGGTTTGCAAGGGCCCCTTTTTGGTGATGCCCCCCCCCCAGTTTCAAACCCGTTCCGCCGCCGCTGTGTAAAAATATTAATAACAAATGTAATTGGCTACCCCACCCCCCGAAAAAAATTGAAAAGAACTATAGACAAAGGAAGGACAAGAAAATCATTAAATTTTTGTTTGAGCAACTACCGTGCATGTTTTTGGCCCTGAACTTTCAATAGCGCTTGAATTAGTTCAATGCACCCAGAAAAAGCGGTCTTGAAGCCCATCGCCATGTTGACAAAATTATGACTATTACTATATACACGCTCTACTGCAAAACACGGCAATTGAAGGCCAAAATTTCACGGAAATGCGAGCTGGCAGTCCCGTTCCCGGCTTCCAACCTTCATTTATTTACAAATCCTCAAGTTCAAGGCCAAACAAAATGCTCGGCTTATACTATTTAGCCGGCGTAGGCAATTTCGGGCCTATTAACTGGCGCGGCAGCCCGAAATCTGAAATTACGCATTAGGGGTTAAATTCTTTCCGAGATTTCGTGCTGGCGCAAGATTTTGTTAGGACTGAAAATTTCCCAAAGTCTTTGATTTTATAAAATATCCCATGCCTGAAATGTAAGACGACAATTTTCAATGTGGCAAACTATGACGAAAACGGTCGCAACAGTTATATTCTAAAATCACGTTCCCGTCGACGGGCTTTCTTGTGATTGTGTGAGAGTGCATCCTTGTTCACAAATGTAAACTTAATGCTCATTGACACCAAATTTCATTCGACAAAAATAATCATTCGGATTACGTCAACTTGAATTCGTACTTCCAATTCGTCCGTAGCCGATTTTTGCGATCATTGTTAACATATTTTGCGATCATTGTTAATATATTAACATGTTAATATATTGAATATATTCGTTGTTAACATTTTGGCGCGAGGTCTTTTTTGGACTGAAAATTTCACACAAATCTTGGATTTTATTAAATATCCAATGCCTAAAATGTAAGACGACAATTTTCCATGTGGCAAAATACGACGAAAACGTTCGCGAATGTAAAATCACGTTTCCGTCGACGGGATTTCTCGTGATTGTGTGAGAGTGCATCCTTGTTCACAAATGTAAACTTAATGCTCATTTTCAATGACGCCAAATTTCATTCGACAAAAATAATCTGGATCCTTAAAATCAAAACATCATTCGCATTACGTCAAATCGACTTCGAACTTCCGATTCGTCTTAGCCGATTTTTGCGATCATTGTTAACATACTGACTATAGTCGTTGTTAACATTTTGTCGCGAAGTTTTGTTAGGACTGAAAATTTCACACAAATCTTGAATTTTATTAAATATCCAATGCCTAAGATGTACGACGACAATTTTCCATGTGGCAAAATACGACGAAAACGTTCGCGAATCTGAATTCACGTTTCCATCGACGGGATTTCTCGTGATTGTGTGAGAGTGCATCCTTGTTCACAAATGTAAACTTAATGCTCATTTTTATTGACACCAAATTTCATTCGACAAAAATAATCTGGATCCTTAAAAATCAAAACATCATTCGGATTACGTCAAATTGAATTCGTACTTCCGATTCGTCCGTAGCCGATTTTTGCGATCATTGTAAACATATTGACTATTCGTTGTTAACATTTTGGCGCGAGGTTTGGATAGGACCAAAAATTTCACACAAATCTTGGATTTTATTAAATTTCCAATGCCTGAAATGTAATACGACAATTTTCAATGTCGCAAAATTTGACGAAAACGATCGCAACAGTTATATTCTCAAAATCACGTTCCCGTCAACGGGATTTCTCGTGATTGTATGAGAGTGCATCCTTGTTCAAAAATTTGAACTTAATGCTCATTTTAAATGACGCGAAATTTCATTCGACTGTAATAATCTGGATCCTTAAAAATCAAAACACCACTCGGATTACGTCAAATCAAATTCGTACTTCCGATTCGTCCGTAGCCGATTTTTGCGATCATTGTTAACATTTTGACTATTCATTGCTAACATTTTGACTATTGCGCAACGAAAAAAACTCTTTCTCGTTTTTAATTCAGAAATTGTGTATTTTGAGTAGTCAGACTGTTTCCGCACAGCAATATGGGCACGTCCAATTCCATTTTTGGCCGAGTTTCAGCCAATTTTCAAAATGAGGGCAGTGTCATATTTATCAGGCCCAATTTTCTACTGTATTATAAGTCCAGGACAGTGGCCAGCCCATCAGGTCACCAGCGCGGGTTCGAATCCAGTAGTGTAGGCCTAGTTAGTTAGGTTAGTTGGGTGTAGGGTTAATTATTAGGTAATTTATGTAGATATGTAAATTATATGTAAATAGCGTAGTATTGTAATGTAAATGTTGATTGCTTCGCAGATTGGAGTGTGGTTGGAGTAAGATCATCAGAGAGCAGCTACATTTCGTCTGCGAAGCATCAACCCCCTGCACCCATTTTGCACTTTTTTTCAAATATCAAAGCTACTATAAAAATTACTATCGCACCTGTTACATCTCTACTGTTTAATATCATGGCAATTCTTTGAAAATAAGTCAGAGTTTTCCACTTTAAAGCTGGCCGCCTCACGTTAGATTAAATATTTGGAGGTATATTAATAAATCATCAAAAACAAACAAAAATACATTATCGGTGCCAGTTTATCTCCAATATCACTAAAAATGAATTTGGTTAGCGGTATTTAAAAATTGAATATAATTGACAAAACTTCACGGTGCGTGGGTCAAATACGTTTAATACGGGACTTAACATTTTGTTGATAAATATGTTTGGCACTTTAACTAGATTACGATACGGAGCGATTGGGAAAATGATACCTTGAGAGTGAAAAACCAGTCTCCATCCTATCTCCACTTAATGATCTGCAATGTCGACAATAATTGGGGGCCTTATAATAATAAACAAGATCAGT